CACACCATTCCTGAAGCAGAACGAACACGAGCATTAGCAACAATTCGACAATCGGCAGCAGCAACAACATCAGCAGCAGTAACAACATCGGCAGCAGCAACAACATCAGCAGCAGTAACAACATCGGCAGCAGCAACAACATCAGCAGCAGTAACAACATCGGCAGCAGCAACAACATCAGCAGCAGCAGGAACAACGACACCAGTCATAGTCGACGAAGCACCACCAACACCCGCGAAACAGCTGAATCCGACTCAACGTGAAGTCCACCGAAGCGCCAACCTCGTCGCCAGCTTTTACTCCAACTCCGACGCATATCAGCGTTCACCTGGACACCGTGCCTCTGAAGAGATCTGGCACGCACGAACAGGACATCCAAGTAACACGGTTTTGAATAACACGATAAGAGCAGGAGTCCTTGACAAAGATTCTCTACTTCTACCCGATGGCAGAGAACTCCAGAAGGCACGAGGGACTTGCCTTATATGTCCCGAAGCTGACTTACCTCATCGACCGTTTGCTTCACATCACAACCCGAGCGCTCCAGCGTACGCACCACTCGAAAAAGTCTACTGCGACATCCTCTACAATCGCGAGCCAGGACAAGTCAACTACAACTACACCATCACCTTCATCGACGCCGCCACTCGATACGTCTGGCATCGCAACCTACCCAGCCGCGACATGGCGCTCGCAGCATTCGCCGCCTGGCTACCGATAGCAGAGAGAGAGTCTGGAACACAACTGAAAAAATTCCAGTCAGACGGAGGTGGCGAGTACACCTCTCACCGCTTCAAGCAGTTCTTGGCGGAAAGGGGGATCAAGCAACTCCTCTCCCTTCCTTACGCACATCAGCAGCAAGGTGTTGCAGAACGACTGAACAGGACCCTGCAGAACAGCATGCGCAAACTATTACGTGGCATGCGGCTACCCAACCACCAGTGGCCAGCAGCAATGGACCACGCTGTCATGCTACACAACTTGTTGTCGTCGTCGTCACTCCCGAACAACGCATCACCGCATCTGCTGTGGACAGGGAAGCAGGGCAGCACGAAAATGTTACGAGTTTTCGGGTGCATGGTACAGTACAGACCCCCAGAAGCACGAGCGGGAAGATTTTCGCAACGGGCACAGTGGGGACTACACCTCGGCACCGAGAAAAATTACAACGCATGGAAAATCTTCGACGTCCACACAAAGGAAACAGTAGCAGCACGTGACGTGATCTTCTACGAAAGACTCACCCTTCAGACGTACCTCGCCAACTTGCACGAGAATCGGGACCTCACCAGTGGTTTTCGTGGTGACCGAGCCTTCGCGTCAGCAGCGGACGAAGCAGACTGGGATGAACAGAACGTCGACAACGCCTCAGAAGAAGCCGGACCTCTCCCATACTGCTCCGTCGACGTGCCCATGGATGAGGATAATCCTCGCGACAGTAACAACGCCGAAATCTTCTACCGTTTCGCCGACGATGGTTACGTAACACCTGTGACAGTCAACACCAACGAAGCAGAAAGGGTAGGGCCAAATTTCATGCCCGACCCAGAAACGGGAGACGAAGCAGCTTATCCCGAGGATCCAGAACTCCCTCGATACTCACAGACTGGGCTGCAAATCCTCGGCCTCGTCACCGCAGTCCACGGGAACACACGCAGCTCGCTTCCTAAGGAGCCTGCAACGGTTCAGCAGGCTCTGGGGGGGGAACACAGGGAGAAATGGCGTGAAGCCATGGATAGAGAACTGAAGGCATTAGAGGAACGCAACACTTGGAAGGTTGTTCCCGTAAGCGTGGCACGGAACAAAACCATCCTTACCGGGAAATGGGTCTTCCGCATCAAGACGAAAGCAGACGGCACGATCGAAAAATTCAAAGCACGCTGGGTCGTACGTGGATTCGACCAAGAGCAAGGACGAGACTTCACCGAGACCTTTGCTCCAGTCAGCCGCCACACGTCACTCCGAATTCTCCTCGCCATTGCCGCCATGAAGAAGAAGAAGTTACGGCAGATCGACGTCGCGAATGCCTTCCTCTACGCACCTGTGGATGCAGAAATCTACGTCGAGCTCCCGCACGGTTCCCACGGCGAACCCAACCGAATCTGTCAACTACTTAAGTCGCTCTACGGGATCAAGCAGGCACCGCGACTGTGGCAGCAGTACCTGCACGCCCGTCTCATCCGCATCGGCTTTAGTCAACTACCTCACGACCAAGGCATGTACCGCCTCACTAAGGGAAGCGACTACGTTCTCCTGATCGTCTACGTGGACGATCTCCTCTACATTGGGTCAACCGACGGCATCGCCACGTGGTTCGAAGGAGAGCTCCAGAAAGACCTCACGCTCACGGTCTCCTCCACCGTTACACAGTACCTCGGGCTCAACATCCGCGAAGAAGAAAACGCCATCTATCTAAGCGCCGAGAAATACGCCGACACCATCGCGAAACGTTTCAGCCTCACACCAAGCGCCATCTCCACGCCCTACCGCTACACATCAGGAACCGAGAAGGAACGAACTACTCTACTCAAGCCCGCCGGCATACGCGACTATCAGAAGAAGCTCGGATGCCTGCTATTCGCCGCCGTCACCTGCCGTCCTGACTTATCCTACTCCGCAAGTCAGCTCGCCACCTATCTCAAGAAGCCTGAAGCTGAACACCTGGCGGAACTTGATCGCGCTCTCCACTACTTCGTCAGCACCGCGACGATCGGGCTAACCTACCACAAAAGCGCAGCTACACCGACTAAGCTAATCGGCTACGTCGACGCCGATCACGCCGGCGACACCGACAACAGGCGCTCACGCACCGGCTATGTCTACCGCCTTGAGCCTATCGGTCCTATCTCCTGGCAGTCGAGCAAGCAGGAGTTAATCGCACTATCTTCAGCAGAAGCAGAATATATTGCACTCTGCTCAGCCACCAAGGAGGGACTTTACCTTCGCGAACTACTGGAAGAAGCGAAGCTAGCCGAGTTACCCAGCTTCACCGTGTTCTGCGACAACCAGTCAGCAATTCGCATCGCCAACAAAAACGGCTTCGCAAACAGGACGAAACACATCGCCCTGCGCTATTTCTTCGTGAAGGACGAGATAGAAAAAGGGAAACTCGATCTGTCATACTGTCCAACATCCGAGATGGCAGCCGATTACTTGACCAAGAAACTCGGCAAGCAGAAGTTCGAATACTGCATGATGCTGACTGGACAAGGCCACGTCACCAGCAGTAACACTCCAGAAGCGAAGGGGAGTGTTGGAAACAATAAGTCCTAAGTGCGCTTCTGTCGTATCAAAATCCAAGGTACCAAGCGAAGCAGTCCCAATCGAAGCATCGAGTCAACCTCGGAGGTTAGGGTAACCGCCTGGAGGTTACGAGAAAGTCAAAGGTCGCTGACCTTTGACTCGACAATTACAGCGCGACAGTTAAGGACACACAACTGACTCGTTACAGAGCAGTTGCCCGAGTCGCGCTATATCGAACCGCAACAGCAATACAGTTATCTATTCCCTGTACTCTTATATAAATCCTTGTATTTGCTTGTTTAATTCAATCAACTTTGCTCTCACACACCAGTGCAAGGTCGGTTCAAATTCTTCACTAAACGCTTCCGCTATTACAACTACTTCACCTAGAGTTATTCCTTGCAAAGATCCTAAGGGGCTATCTCAGCCCAACAATAACCAAGCGCGTCAGGACTTCGCTCCTCCAGGAATGAATGCGAGTGTTACGATATGGAATAGTTGAATAAACATTCCTGAATAACAAATCCAGGATCCTCACTAGGATCCGACGGATGTCTGATGCATCAGACGGGTCCCTCGGGCAAAAAAAAACTTTTGTCTGATTCTGACTGGCCCATCAGATTAATCCAAAAAAATCAATCTGGAAACTAAGACAAACAGACAAAAATGTCTGATGTCGAGGACCCTGAACAAATCCTTAACGCGAAGATGACTGCAGCGAGGACGAAAGACCAAGTGACGAGACCGTTTTCAAGACAGTCACAAGCAGGAATAATTTGCAAAGCGCGGGAAATGTCCAAATGGTTACCGGACCGCGTACGGTTACCGAATCGTACGGTTGCAATCCTGCATCTAGATTAGCTCTGCAGGGAATGTGCCCCCTCAGTGTACATGGCTAGCTAGGACCTTTCGTATTCCACTGTATTCCTATATAAACCCCTGTACTGTATTGGATTAGTCACTTCTGTCGAGATTCGAATCTCCTTCTGACAAAGTCCGTACCCGAAATTACCTAGCAATCTTCCGCTGATACACTCGGTGCGATCAACCTGAGACGATCCTATAAGACGGTTCAGATTGTATCATTATCTTTGAACTCGAGTGCATGGTTTTCTATGCAACACAACCCACAAAAAAAAAAGTTATGTTTCCATTACATACCATGTTATTCTTTTGGTGTACTTGTTGTTCTGCCATTCTGACAATCGCGTAGCTGGAAGAATCCATGCTCATCATTTCAATTTGGCAATTCAAAAGCTGAGTTTGAATGCATGGTGACATCGAGGTATGGATGCTGAACCTGCTCCCATAACCAAACATCAGGCTCGGCTTCAGGTATGACAAGTCATTTGGAGAGTGAGGTGGAGGCTTTGTGGTCGCAAAGAGGAGGTTCGGAATGCCGAGGCAGCCGGTCAACCACGGGCAAGTCCCATGGAGACCTCTCACGAGGCGTACTTGCCAACAACGAAGGCGAAGCCGGAGCTGGAGCCGCAAGGTTTTGGCGCAAAGCAAAAAGCTTGAAGTTTTGGTTGAACGGTGGAGATTGCGTTTCAGACCCAATCTCATCCACCATCGGCACTCTCTGAGCAATGTGGGCTTACCCGATCATCTCAGGACGCTCTCGCCTTCCCCTCAATCGTCTCTCCCAAAACCACCAAGCCTCTCTGCTCCATCTGATCCCAATGACCTCAGACTAGCAGACGGATTTTTGCTTCTTTGAAAGTCCGTAGGTCAATGATCCTGGATTATCATCAAGAATGGGTACTGCTGAAACTTTTTCGTCTCCGGAGCCAAAGGCAATGCAAGTATTCAGCGATGACGACCAGGTGTGGCTCCCGAGCACTGATTGCTCCCCGTGCTCTCGTCTTGACGAGCAGTTTCATTAAGTTCTTGCGGCCGCAATGGCCTAGCCTTTTTAATATACAAGACTGGTTCCCAGTCGTCGCTGTATTTTTTTATTCCTCGTGCCTGGCGTATTGCTCAATTCTATGGAGTCAATGTCCAGGTTTGGCTGTGTATAATATGTTCAGCCCAGCATAAATGTAGCTCTTGATCCGTCATGACGTATGCGCTTGCTTTCTACGCAATAAATTCAAATTCTCCCATTCTGTTTCTCCGGGTCACCCATGTCCGCTGTGGTCTATTTCCTACTCGTTTGAGTGCAGAGTTCGCCGTTTTCAAAGTTCGCAGATGCGCTCTCTCCGATCCAGCAAGCCAGGGCAGTTCGAGATGCGGCGTTTCAAGATGGGTCCCGCTCGCCTCCATTTCGATCTCCCACACGACCTCGTGGCAGAGGTCGATTACGACGGTAAGCCGGGTGTTCTGGTCGTTTCGTTTTGCACCTCGGTTGGTAGTGCGAGGGCCTAACGTCCATCCGCTGTGTCTCTCCAGGGCCTCTCGGAAGCTCGCGAACTGGTCTCCCGGCTCCACGACCCCGCAAATGACTCCGCTGGGCAGTGGGGATGCGAGCAAGGTGCCGCCGTCGCCACTGGACCGCAAGTCTCTGGCAGACTCCGACATCCCCAGCCTCTCCCCACGCCGCTCGCTCTCGCTTCCCTTCTCCAAACCCCAACCTGGGGACCGCGTTCGCTCGTCACCCGACACGGCCTGTGATGCGTCTGGGCTGAAGGTGGCGGCGCCTGTTGGCTCTCGGTTATCTGTTTGGGTGCAGCAGCCTAAGGACGACGCGCATGATTCTGGCAGTGGCAATTTATGCGCTTTGACGCCACGTCGTGCGTCGTGCACGCAAGAGCCTCCGTCGACTGATGCGACAGAAGGTGACAATAAATTTCTTACATTGGCTCCGCCCGTTGCTCCTACCGAGGATGCTACTCCTGTGGAGCGTGCTAGCTCGGGAAATGTGAGGGAGAAAGAGGATAACTCGCGTCTGAGGTCGTTGAACGATGCCGAGCAAGCACAGGGTGGAGAATGCCGTGAGGGCGGGCTGACAGCCGAGGAGAAACTCGAAGAGGAGGATGAGTGGGAGCACGGCGGGGCGGATGACGAAGCCGCTGAGCTGGGGTGCCCAGCTCAAACGCCGACGGCGGGTGACGAGGGCGGAAGAGGCTCGCAGGGACGCGACGATCCGCCTCAGCAGATTAAAGACGGCGCGGACCGTTGTGCAGAGGAGAAGAAAGATGACGTGGTGGGGGATGACCCTAGGAGTGGCAGATCGGAGCGAGTAGGCCATTATGGGGCAGGAGAGGGCGGCTGCAGGCCATTCCGCAGCGCGAAGGATCGCGCGGGGGCATTTGAAATTTGGCAGTCGCCTAAGAAGCCGCGCATGCTGATCGAGGGTTTCGGCGAATCGCCAGCGAAGGCAACGCCTGGGGGCATGATGACGTGGCAGTCACCCGACGGCAAGCGCAGCACCCCTTTGCGCACGGCGCTGTTCACCCAGCCGTATCGAGGCATGGACGGCACGGGGCTTGATTCCAGCCCCATGAGCGAGGGCTCCGTGCGCCGGATGTGGGAGCTGGGGTCGCCTGGCGCCCTCTCTTCACCAGGAATGGGTCTGGGCACTATTGGCATGCACATGGGTATGGGGCTGGGTTTGGGTTTGGGCATGGGCATGGACGACGGGCATATGGGGTTCGGGGAGCTTCCTGATGTTTTGGCGGCTGGAGACCCAATGGAGCGCCTCAGAGCCATGCAGGAAGGCGCCGAAAGAAGCAGGTTGTTCCTCGAGCGGCCTCGTGGATTCACGGCGCTTGTGGGCAGTGGCCCTTCCGTTAACGCGAAAGAGGCTGTCACGCCGAGGGGACTGGAGAGCCGTTATGCAGGCTCATTGCTGCGGACTCCATCTGCTGCAGCGCCGTCCGCTGCTGCTGACGGCAACCTCCAAGGCGCAGCGGACGTGCCCGACGGCGCTGTTGCTGGTGGCAGTGGGAAGTACGACAGCCCCCATGATGCCCGCAGCACTGGCGTCACGGAAGCGGATCTGCCAGCGGAACGCAGCCATCATGCGGGTGACACCCACCACTCCATCGATCTCACCCGTGCTGGTGCTCCTGGTGACGGCTCGTGGCAGCTGCCTCCGGCGCACACGGATGCCGCGCCTTCAACGTACAGCACCCGCCAGGTGCAGCACGACGGGACGCGCGAGCAGGGTTCCGCAGCAGAGGGCGCGCATGGGCTGCCTGAAGGCGAAATCAAGCGAGAAGCTTCAGGGATGAGCGCGATGGAGGAGCGCAAAGGCGGGAATGCTGACGTGGCGTGCGCGCATGGTAGTGCGGCCCACTCTCATGATGCAGGGGCGGGCGGTGGTGGAGGCAGAGGAGTGGGAGGGGACGTGCGACTGCGGCGCATGAACAGTGGCGAGGGTCCCGCGGGGCACGCAGCGCGGAAGCATGCGCAGGGGCGGTGGGCAGGGGCACATGGAGGCGTGGAGGAGCACAGTGCAGTGCCGGCGGGGGTGGAGTACGCGAGTGCGTCCACTGGAGACGTGTCTGAGAGCGATGAGGGCTCGCTCGTTCAAGGAAGCAGCCACCACGTTTCCATCAGGTAGGCTTCTTCTTGCTTCTGCAACCCCATCCGCTCTTAGATCTCCTCATTTTCCCCTTCCACCTTTACTCTCTTCCATTCCGTCTCAACTTTCTCATACGCACCTCATCAAACCTCTATCGCTCCTTTTCACTGTGATTGCAGTGCCTCCGCCACTCCACCTCCCAGCGAGGGCTGCAGGCGTTGCAGCTGCAAGAAGTCTCGCTGCCTCAAACTGTGAGCCCACCCTCGCTGCCTCTTTCCACCGCTCGCTCTCACCAATTTGATGTCCCTGCTTTCCAACCTGCAGCCAAGTGGGTTTTTTCACTCTCTCACATGTCCTCGTTGCCATCCCTGTTTCTGTGACAGCTACTGTGAGTGCTTTCGGGCCAATGTGTATTGCGGGGACGCATGTCGCTGCAACGAGTGTCAGAACACACCTGAGTACGAGTCCCTTGTGCTGGCCACACGAGCAGCCATTCAGGCTCGGAACCCCACGGCCTTCCAACCCAAGATTATCACCGCCGCTACTGTTGGCCCTGCATCATCCCTTTCACGACCCAAGGTTGGTGCTCCCTTTCCCCTCGCTTCCCATCCCACATTCGTTTACCCATTCCCCCTCAATTTTACCCCACCCACGTGACTCGCTCTCTGGCCCTTTCCTTCTCGTCAATTTCCTGCTTGCCTTTCAATCCTGTGGCCACCCAAGCTCAGTACCTGCTTCATTCACCCTATTTTATCACTCGCTGCCATGCCAGGTGTCCGTATCTGCGGCATCACCGGTGCCAGCAGCGCCTCCCAAGGCACCGCGCCACAAGACGGGGTGCAACTGCCGCCGCTCCATGTGCACCAAAAAGTACTGCGAGTGTTACCAGGTAAATGGCTGCTCCACTCCTCGCTTTTCAACCAGTGTGCTTCGCCTCTCAACGTTGAATGCCGCTTGTACTCCTCTCCTGCTGTTGCAGATGCAACTGCAGCTGGCGCCAAACATGGTCTCTGCCCCACCCAGTCTTCCTTTTCGTGTGTTAACATCACACTCATCTCTGTTTCCTTGGCTGTCCCTTGCTGTCTGCGTGGGTGCAGGCTGGAGTGGGGTGCACAGCAGGCTGCAGATGTGCGTCATGCCAGAATCCCCATGGTCGCAGTGGAGGTATGCCCTTTCTCCTCTCCCCTCCGCCTGCCATTTTCAAATGTCCATTCAGCACCACTCCCGCTCTCTCAATGCACCTTGTTGTTATTCGTTTCTCGGGCTAATGCAGTCCACTTACCCTCTCTAACCCATCGTGTTCCCCTGTGTGTGCAGATGTGGCAGCGCTCCTGTCTGATGCGGACCGCAGTCACGACCGTGCGCTGCGCACGCTCTCGCCCTCACCTGCTGCCACCCCCCTTCGCTGGCAGCCGCCATCCGCATCGCCTCTGCACTCGTCTGCAGTCCGCCGCAGCCTGCCCTTCTCGCCCTCCCCTGTGGACTCCTCCCGCGTGCTGCCTGGCCGCGTCCCTTCAGCGTAAGAACAAGATGTTGCATTGCCTTGCTGCTGCTGTGTGTGCACAGTGCTTGGATACTGTTGCGTGTACAACTGATACATGATGCTATAGTTGCCCCCAACTGCCCCCCTTCTGTCAGTTTCATGTTGCGGCCATGTTTTCGTTTCTCTGATAAAGAGCCTGTGTTTTGCTTTCCCCGTCATCTCCCTCGCTGCATCATGCCTGCAGATTGGACCTGTCACACCTGTCGGAACATGCCAGCCCATCGCCCACCATCTCTGCAAGGCCTGTTGCTCACTCCCATTCCCAAGCCCCAGACCCCCCTGCTGCACACGAGCGGCTTCACGTCCCTGCAGCAACCTCCCCTTTACCATCCTCCAAGCCGCATCCAGATACCACCTCCGCCAAGCCCGCCTCCTCAGATGCTCACCACGTTCTTTCTGCCTCTGCTGGCCCCATAGCATCAGCAGCAGCATCTGGCGTTGCGGCATCACCCAATGGTGGCAGAGAGCCCTTAAAGCCCCCCCTTGCGCCTCACCAGTTCCGCCTGCCCGCCACCCCCCTGCGCGCCTCCTCTGCTGCGTCCGCTCGCCTACTACTGAGAGGCCCAGGCTGTGTGGCAAAGATAGAGGAGGGTGGTGGGGACGTGAAGCTGGGTGGAGCTGCTGCAACCTGGGGTGGTGGTGGGAGGGAGAGGGGTGAGGCAGTTCCTGCTGTGCGCGTGGATAAGGATGGCGGTGATTGCAAGCCTCAAAGCATTCTGCATGCAGAGGGGCCAGTAGCGCCTGCTGATGCAGCAGCAGCTGCAGCTGCGGCTGCAGCAGCAGCAGCAGAGGAAGCGGAGATGCTTCAGGTCGAGTCGTTTCTGTCGCTGCAGCAGGAGGACGCTGGGGATGAGGGGGAGAAAGGCCTGCAGGCGCCATGTTATGGCAAGGGAGAGAAAATGGGCTTGTCTGTAGCAGGGGTTGGGCATGTGAAGGCGGAGCAGGAGCAGTGGCAAGAGAGAAGCAGCAGTGAGGGCAATGGCAGGGTGGCGGCAATCACATGCCCATCCCAGAAGCGTGTGTCGCCTCCTCATATGCATGTGTGCGCTACAGGGGGGGATTTGGATCCTGGACCAAGGGCACAAGTGGGGGGTGCATATGCAGCAGGGCAGGAGCGAGTGGGTAGGGGGGTGGAAGAGGCGGATGAGGAGAGGGGCGAGGGTGGTGCTGGCCGCAAGAGGATGCGACTGACTGCGTGACGCCTGCAGTCAACGCCAATGGGGTGATTCAGAGGGGGATTGGGATGGGCATGGATATTGTGATTCGAATCAAGCACTAAACTCTGACAATAAGTGTATTCAGAGGCAGGAGTGTGGGACCTGGTTGGGCAATCCAACCAGCCATGTGGCACCAGCCAAGTGTCTGCTGCGCTGCTGAATGGCACACCACAGCTCCTTGTTGCGTCACATGACGTCACATGAGTGGAGCTGGTTGTGGTTCGTCTTTCAGAATTGCATGGCATGCTGCTGGTTTGGTCCCTCGCATCACGTGGTCACATGCCCGCACTCCTGGTCCGTATATCCCTGGTTAACATTCTTTTGCTGTCAGCTTGCTGCAGCCACCAAGCAGGTGGGGAGGCACATGTTCTCTGACACATAAGCCTCTCTGCTCCACTGCTGTTGTCAGCTTTTGAGCTGGCCATTTACTGCTTTTTCATTGACCCTCTTTATTTTTGCATGTTTTATACTAGGGCACCAAACCATGAGTGCATATAGAATGCTGGAAAAAGGGTGTGAAGCTTTTATCATTCTTGGATAGCAGATCACAGGAACATGATCCAAGGCTGTGAATTTGAGGTACTGTCAGGTGCAATTCTGTTCGAGGCTGCCTTCACATGCAGCACGGGGATGGTACCTGTCCCTCCATCCATCCCTCATCCCTTCCTTGACCTTCAACTCCTCCTTCCGGACGGAACAAGAAGGGTGCCTCATCACCTCCTGCTGTAACCTCGCCACTGCAGCGTCCAGGTGAGCAAGGGTAGCCTTGACCCGTTTCCGCTCCTCGGTAGAGTACTTCCTTAACGCCATGTTCATTTCCCTCATGAGCGCAGTGAAGTCTCCCGACCCCGCTTTTCCATGCTTCTCTCGAACCTCCGCAACCGCTTTCGCTGCACCTGGTCTACCGATCTCCACCGCCTTGCACCTCCATATTCCAGGCCCCATACAGAGCTGCAGGCTGATCTTGAATGTCACCTTCACACCGAACCAGTGATCAGAGAGGCCCTTCAGCGGCCGGCAGTGCGACGCATCGGAAAGTGACGGCAGCAGAGACGCTGAGACGAGAGCTCGATCAATGCGTGAGCTGGTCTTAGCAGATCTGGACAGAAACGTGAACTCCTTCAGCACCGGATTCATCCAGCGAAAAGCGTCGGTGAGACAGTGCGCTGAACAGATCCGCAACACACTGTTATTTTCCCCGGATGATCCCGCTCCCGACGATCTGTCCAGGATTGGATCCTCCACCATGTTGAGGTCCCCGACCAAAACAAAGTTTTCCTTCCCCACCGAGTGCGCCATAAACGGGGTCAGCACTCCGCCATAGAAAGGCCGACGCCTGCAGGCCTTCGCCGGGAAGTAAGCAGCCAGGATTGAGCAACAGAAGGAGTCCCACTGGACATCGGCCTGAAGCAGTCGGCCTGAATCGTGCGCGACAATGTTAGTGAAACTGAGAGACTTGTTAAAACTCAAAATGGCTACTCCCCCTGCCTTCCCCGCAGGACCAACGGCGTGGCAGTGAGGAGCCTTAAGCCTCTTCCAGAAGTCATGATCTGCACCAATGCGTGTGTCGATTAAAACGAAGATGTCGGGTGCAGGGCCTCAGATTCACTTTTAGGGTCGTCGACCCATCAGGGTACCCTTGTGTATAAACCCTGATTGACAGTGTTTCTAAAAAAAAAAACCTGAAATATCAGGGTTCCCTTTGAAAAAAGGCTGATGTATCAGTGTTCAAAAATATAAAAGGTTGTTAATTACTAGAAACCTCTACTTCAAATACTAAGTCAGTAGTAGCCGTGTTATCATCACTGCCTTTGGCTTCTCTCCTCTCCTCAGCTTGGGACACCAGTACGTGACAGTGCTCTGCCGCAGCACACACATACACGTTGAAGCTGCAGGGGCAGGGTGTGGAGGAGGAACCGGATTGACAGGCAGGGTGAGGCAGGGAAAGAGAGAACAGGAGGGAGAGAGGGGGGAAGATTGGCACAGTTGGGGGGGAGACGACTGGGGGAGAGATGGAGTGCACGGAGTGCGGGGCAAAGGGAGCAGAGGAATGGACGGCGGGCGCGCGGGTCATGCGCGGATCATGTCGTCGCGCAGCACGACGATCTGCGCACCGCACGCGGTGCAGATGGCCTTTTCAACCGCGGTTCGTGCTGGCGACGAGGCAGCCTTCGGTTGCCGCCATTAGCACGAAAAACTATGCGTCGTCTAGTCGTAGCGGGCCTGCGACGCCGACGGGAATTGCCACGTGGTCTACGACCATCTAGCAGAATGCACTGCGGATCGCGTCGAACGAGAGCGATGTGTTCGGTGAGACAAGAGGAGATTCGGCGGCGCTTGCGATGGGTTCGATTCCCGACAGCCCGCCCTTTCTGGTGCTGATGGCGCCATGAATTAGTGCAGACGAGAAAGCAAGAGAGGAATCGGGCTGAGAGGGAGAGGGAGAGAAACAGGAGGAAAATAAACAAGAGATTGGGTTGGAGGGAATGGGAGCATCAGTGCTTGCTGGTGCAGGAACCCTCGCAGCCCTCCAGCACAACATGGTTGCCACATCCTGATTAGCTATCACTTCATGCTACAGCGTTACTGCCCAATGAAGTGCTGGCACCGCAGGAATATGAGATTCCCTGTTTTGCGGGCAAATGCACACGGAACAAGTAAGAATTGCTTTCAGTGTTAGTTTCGTTACAACGCCGTAGAATCAGTGTACTTGGGAAACGAAAGTCTGAAATTTCAGTGTGGCCTAACAAAAAAGGCTGAAAGATCAGTCCCACAAAAATCTCAACGCTGATTTTTCAGTGTAGGTAAAAAAAGGGCTGCCAAAATCAGGAATTTCAGGGTTTTTTTCCTGATATCTGAGGCCCTGGTCGGGTGGCTTCTTTAACCACGCCTTCAGGTGTTTTTGTTTCCCCCTGCTCCCGAGCCCGTTGACGTTGAGCTCGCGTATTGACAGGTAAGAAGCCTTATTCATTGGGAAACCGCTGAGAAGCCCCAAGCATCCACGGGCTGAGTGAGACACAAGCAACAGGCTCATATAAGGCAAGTACAGACTCGAGTGACCCTATCATGCAGACACCTTCCCTCCATAGCCCCTCTACGCCCCATAATCCTTCTTCAGATGCTTGAGATTGATCTTCCCCTTCAGCAAACGGAGCGACTCCCCCCCTTTCGGGGCCCCATGGCGGTGCCGCTGGGACAACGCGTGATGAGCAGCCTGCTCGAACGACGAACCATGAGCTTTGTCGCAGCTGTCCTGAAGACAGACCCACTCCTCCCGATTGCCGCTGGTGGAGATCAGCACCAGGGACGGGTCCTTGAGAATAATCTTGGTTGTATCTGATGCAGTGGTCGCAGCAGCCGCGGAGCAACGATGTGAGTACTCGGGGAAAAGCGTAAAGGAAAAACGACAGCGAGAAGGTAGGAACTCCAGCATCAACAGCGCGAGCGGCACGACTACCATTCAGCTCATGGACCCTCCCAACGGTAAGGTGCCATTTGGTGATGTTGTTCTGGCGCTCGACGACGAAGTCGTTGTGGTTGTGAATCGAATGGTGACCTCCGCACAGGCTGCACTTCAAAGACGGGTAGTGAATCAGCAGAACCTCCTCCTTGTTAAGCGGGTTTTCAATGTAGTGTTTCCAGCGGTACAAATCCCCCTCGTGTGCAATCACCAGCCCTTTGACCCGATCCATGGCCAGGCCGGTTACAGAGTTGACCGCACGATGAAAGCACAGTCCCTCTTTGAACACCGACTTCTTCTTCTTCTTGAGCGGGGCCATCAGCATTTCATGCAGCATCGCAGGTGAAATCTCGGCGGGGACGTCCTTGAAATATAACTCAATCACCGCCGGATTCGTCGCCTTCTGTCTGGCGAAAGCGGGATCCTCCGGGTATTGCCAGTCAAAGGCAACGTAAGTACCATTCTTGCACTTATGCTCCACCTGATTACGCCACACAAAGTTAGCATCAGATGCCTTATCAAAAGTGACTTGCATGCGACCATAGTAGTTCTTGTACAGGAAAACAGACGACAGCTGCTGGTATGTCGTGGTGGCCTGAGCTCCGTCTGACAGCTCATCCTTCCAGATTCCCACCAACCCCTTGATCGTGGCCTGTGTGCGAGGTACTTCCGGCAGGAACTCCTCAGGGATCAGCAGCGTGATCGGATAGCGGGAGCGTGACGCAATCACACCCTTTGACGCATCCTCAACCTCCTCGTCAGAGTCATAAGCAATGAGCCCGTCGTCCTCATCATTCAGCAGGTGAGAAACCCCCGATGGACCCGAGCCGTCCTCAACAGCAACATGATTGTCATCGTCATCATCATCATGAGTCGCCTCTTCGCCTTCTGGAGCGTCAGTAACAGCATCCTTGAAAACAACTTTCTCCTTACCCTTCTTGCTTTCATTCGCAGCTTCCTCAATGCGAAAGGCCGCGAGCTTCGCCGAAAGAGTCAGAGCTTCAGACTCATCAGGCTGAAAAGGGCCTTTGGATGCCTTTATGACGGTTGCAGACTTCTGCGGAAGCCTTGACATGGACTTCGGCTTAACTGGCGTCGTCGCCGGCGGAGCAGTAGAAGAAACAGAGGCCAGCGGTACAGCAGCGGTGGATGTAGCAGCAGCAGCCGCAGCAGCAGCGGTAGCCGCGGTGACAGCAGCAGGAGCAGCCTTCTTAACACGGGGAGCCATCGTGCTATGATGATAAAAAAACCACCAAAGCCAGTGATGTGCTGGAGAGATGTGAAATCTGAGCACGAACTTGTCGTCCTTTGTAGAAAAGATAATGCCTGCATGCTGAAGCCTGATTGTAGCCTTGAAAATGGAGAGAAGCCTTGGAAACTCCACATTGGAGACACCTCGCACGGAAATCCCGAAACCATGTCTTATGCTCGCCTTCAGGGTGATGGGACCAATGTTCTCTGTTTGAACATTTAAAAAATATCCACAGGTACCCTGAGAGAAGACGATCTCAATGGTTATGAGCGGCGTATCTTGCCTCCGAGCAGGAAAGGGTCTCACTCATGGCGGGGGTTAAGGAGCTGCGGGAGGGAGAGTTGCCTGGCAAGCTCATGTCTGCAAAGGTCAAAACACGGAAGGAGAGGACCATGATTACATCATTGCAATGGAAGGGAACGGAGCGTAAGGACTCAAGAGGGATACTGGAAGCTGCCTCAGAGTTTTACACGGAGCTGTTCTCAGAGCCTACCTCAACCACGGACAGTACCTTCTGGACGGTTGCTCTGGACAGGAAGCTGGGTGAAGAGCAATCGCAGCTGCTGGTGGAAGACTGGTCAGAAGCGGAGGTGAAGGAGGCTCTTGACGGTATGGCGAAAGGCAAGTCCCCCGGTGCTGACGGAATCCCGAAGGAGTTCTTCAGTCAGCATTGGGACTCGCTGGGGGGTGATGTGCTCGGTTTCGCGAAGCGGTTCGAGGAAACGGCCGTTCTTCCTCCCGCGGCTTTGGAGGCGGTCACTGTCCTGCTGCACAAGAAAGGCGCGAAGGACCAGGTGCAGAACTACCGGCCGATCACGCTGCTCAACAGCACGTACAAGCTGGTAGCGCGTGTATTGGCAAACAGGATGCGGAAAGTGCTGCACAAGGTCATTTCAGAGGAGCAATACGGGTTCTTACCGGGAAGAAGGCTGGCGGACGGTGTCTCACTGATCGCGGACATCGTCGATGCGGCGAAGTGCAAAAACGCGGATTGGTATTTACTTCTGGTAGATTTCCAGAAGGCCTTCGATTCTGTTTCTCGCGAATACCTCTTCGGCACGATGGAGAGGATGGTTTTCCCGCGGAAATTCGTGAGGTGGTGCGAGGGTCTCCATGCAGGATCGACGACGAGACTGCTGCTGAACGGCTGGCTGGGGGAGCCGGTGGCGGTCAAGAAGGGGGTGCGGCAGGGCTGTCCGCTGGCGCCCTACCTTTTCCTCTGCGCGGTGGAGCCTCTCTGCCAGGAAGCAATAAGGAGGAAGTTGGGTATAAGTAATCCGTTCGGTGATCGCCTTGCGTACCTTGGGTATGCCGATGACACCACGCTGGTGCTCCAAGGGAAAAGGCAGATTGGCCGGGCGGTGAAGCTGCTGGATGAGTTTGGTGATAAGTCGGGGCTTCGCGTGAATATCGACAAGTCTGCTCTCCTTCCCCTGGGGAAGAACCTGCTCAAGAAATCGGACAAGTCATCAGGCTTCAAATGGGTGCGATCAAACGAAGCGGAAAGGGTTCTAGGGGTGTGGATCTCACCTTCGGGGGACGCGTCGGTGACTTGGGAAATTACTCTGTCACGGGCAACGGCGGAGCTGGTGAAATGGCAAATACATTACCTGACGACGTCCGGCAGGGTCGCGGTGGTTAACGGGTACATTATTCCAATCCTCGCCTTTCAGGCGCAGGTTTACCCTCCTCCTGCGGAAATCTGGGCGAAGCTGGTGAAGCTGCTGCATAATTTCGTCACGGGCAACCATTCAACGGCAGGGAAGCATTTTGCTCTCTGGAGCCAGGAGTTGCTGTTCAAAGCGAGAGGGGAAGGCGGGCTCGGTGTCCGGGACCCGTGTGCTGAACTGGGTGGCCTGGCGGCCAGGAGGACAGCGCTACTGGCATCACAACCACTGGGTCTGCGTGCCGACCTCGCGCTCACGGCTCTGGATGTTCCGGACCTGCAGGTTTTTTGGGCTCACGCGGGGCTGATGAAGCAGTGGGCAGGTCGGTGTGAGAGGTGGAAGCGGACGTGTGAATTATTCCTGGAGTCCAGTTTTCCTTCATGCATCAAGGCCTCGTCGGTGTGGGAGGTGGAGCAAGAGATGCTACTGTTTAATCGCTGTCTGCTTTTGAATGAGAAGACCCCCGCGGGTCGGCAGAAGGCGGCTAAGCCGCTGAAGCGCTCGGTGATGGGCGACTTCATCAAAATCGCCGTGGATGGCTAGAGGGCTCTGAAAAGCCCTCAGGAGCTCGAGCGGGCTTTCGGTGGGTCAGATGGAGCGAAGCTGGCGATGAGGATTTTTGATGCGGCTCCAAACGAGTGGAAGCAGATGCTTATGGCGCCTGTCACGGCGCGCACGGTGCTCACTGTTTCTAAGTTCGTGCTCAAGGCGGGGACGAGTTACGGTGTCTGGAGGATTGAGTGTGTAGAGGGCGAAACCCTCGTCTGCCGTGCCATCAGATGCTTCCGGGGGGTCTTGGAGGAAGCAGAGGAGAGGACGCACAACTTTCTGCCGCATGAGGTGGTGCCTGCTGTGGTCAGGGAGGGGCGGCTGCTTGGTCCTGCGGGTGGTCCCAGGGCAAGATTGTTGTGCTCCCCCATCTGGGAGGGGGATCGGCCAGCGCAGCTGAAGCAACTCAAGGAGGGTTTCAGGCGGTTTGGCGGAAAACCAAAGCAGCAGAGCACGTGGGAGGAATCCCTCGGCCGTCCGATTGACTGGGGGAGGGTGATCGGGGTAAGGGACTCGCCTGCTCTTCCAAATCGTGCACGTGACGTGATGCTCCGGATCCACAGCCGGAACCTGCAGGTGGGGGAACGGTTACACTTTCTGGGCGCTGGGGTCGCCTGCCCCCACTGCGGGGAGAAAGAGACGCTGGAACATGGACTGTTTCTCTGCTCGCGCATTCAGCCGGTGGTTCGGGCACTGTTGAAGGCGCTCCGTATGTTAAATCCGCATCGGAAAATTGAATCTCTGGGTGACGTGGTCTTCAGGAAGGAGGGGACAGCTTCGGGATTCCCCGAGGCTACGATCACAGCAATCGCGTTCCACCGAATTTGGGTTGAAAGGTGTGACGCAGTTTTCGAGCGCAGCAAATTCCGGGCGAGGAGGGCTCTGCGGAGGATTGCGGCGTCCTTTCAGCTGCATGTCAGGATCTACAAGCGTGCTAAGGCAGTGTCTAAGAGGCTCGGTGCCATTCGTCCTGGTCTGGATGATGACGAGTGCCGGGTTTTGGGCCGTATCATGGACAACTCAGCTCAACCAGCCACGTGGTCCAAGGGCTTCATGGCCATCTGGTCGAACCCGAGGGCTGCTTTCCGCCCCCCTTAGAGGATCAGGATGGGTACGGAGGGAGGATGGGTACGGAGGGGCCGCGGTGACAGCAGCAGGAGCAGCCTTCTTAACACGGGGAGCCATCGTGCTATGATGATAAAAAAACCACCAAAGCCAGTGATGTGCTGGAGAGATGTGAAATCTGAGCACGAACTTGTCGTCCTTTGTAGAAAAGATAATGCCTGCATGCTGAAGCCTGATTGTAGCCTTGAAAATGGAGAGAAGCCTTGGAAACTCCACATTGGAGACACCTCGCACGGAAATCCCGAAACCATGTCTTATGCTCGCCTTCAGGGTGATGGGACCAATGTTCTCTGTTTGAACATTTAAAAAATATCCACAGGTACCCTGAGAGAAGACGATCTCAATGGTTATGAGCGGCGTATCTTGCCTCCGAGCAGGAAAGGGTCTCACTCATGGCGGGGGTTAAGGAGCTGCGGGAGGGAGAGTTGCCTGGCAAGCTCATGTCTGCAAAGGTCAAAACACGGAAGGAGAGGACCATGATTACATCATTGCAATGGAAGGGAACGGAGCGTAAGGACTCAAGAGGGATACTGGAAGCTGCCTCAGAGTTTTACACGGAGCTGTTCTCAGAGCCTACCTCAACCACGGACAGTACCTTCTGGACGGTTGCTCTGGACAGGAAGCTGGGTGAAGAGCAATCGCAGCTGCTGGTGGAAGACTGGTCAGAAGCGGAGGTGAAGGAGGCTCTTGACGGTATGGCGAAAGGCAAGTCCCCCGGTGCTGACGGAATCCCGAAGGAGTTCTTCAGTCAGCATTGGGACTCGCTGGGGGGTGATGTGCTCGGTTTCGCGAAGCGGTTCGAGGAAACGGCCGTTCTTCCTCCCGCGGCTTTGGAGGCGGTCACTGTCCTGCTGCACAAGAAAGGCGCGAAGGACCAGGTGCAGAACTACCGGCCGATCACGCTGCTCAACAGCACGTACAAGCTGGTAGCGCGTGTATTGGCAAACAGGATGCGGAAAGTGCTGCACAAGGTCATTTCAGAGGAGCAATACGGGTTCTTACCGGGAAGAAGGCTGGCGGACGGTGTCTCACTGATCGCGGACATCGTCGATGCGGCGAAGTGCAAAAACGCGGATTGGTATTTACTTCTGGTAGATTTCCAGAAGGCCTTCGATTCTGTTTCTCGCGAATACCTCTTCGGCACGATGGAGAGGATGGTTTTCCCGCGGAAATTCGTGAGGTGGTGCGAGGGTCTCCATGCAGGATCGACGACGAGACTGCTGCTGAACGGCTGGCTGGGGGAGCCGGTGGCGGTCAAGAAGGGGGTGCGGCAGGGCTGTCCGCTGGCGCCCTACCTTTTCCTCTGCGCGGTGGAGCCTCTCTGCCAGGAAGCAATAAGGAGGAAGTTGGGTATAAGTAATCCGTTCGGTGATCGCCTTGCGTACCTTGGGTATGCCGATGACACCACGCTGGTGCTCCAAGGGAAAAGGCAGATTGGCCGGGCGGTGAAGCTGCTGGATGAGTTTGGTGATAAGTCGGGGCTTCGCGTGAATATCGACAAGTCTGCTCTCCTTCCCCTGGGGAAGAACCTGCTCAAGAAATCGGACAAGTCATCAGGCTTCAAATGGGTGCGATCAAACGAAGCGGAAAGGGTTCTAGGGGTGTGGATCTCACCTTCGGGGGACGCGTCGGTGACTTGGGAAATTACTCTGTCACGGGCAACGGCGGAGCTGGTGAAATGGCAAATACATTACCTGACGACGTCCGGCAGGGTCGCGGTGGTTAACGGGTACATTATTCCAATCCTCGCCTTTCAGGCGCAGGTTTACCCTCCTCCTGCGGAAATCTGGGCGAAGCTGGTGAAGCTGCTGCATAATTTCGTCACGGGCAACCATTCAACGGCAGGGAAGCATTTTGCTCTCTGGAGCCAGGAGTTGCTGTTCAAAGCGAGAGGGGAAGGCGGGCTCGGTGTCCGGGACCCGTGTGCTGAACTGGGTGGCCTGGCGGCCAGGAGGACAGCGCTACTGGCATCACAACCACTGGGTCTGCGTGCCGACCTCGCGCTCACGGCTCTGGATGTTCCGGACCTGCAGGTTTTTTGGGCTCACGCGGGGCTGATGAAGCAGTGGGCAGGTCGGTGTGAGAGGTGGAAGCGGACGTGTGAATTATTCCTGGAGTCCATTTTTCCTTCATGCATCAAGGCCTCGTCGGTGTGGGAGGTGGAGCAAGAGATGCTACTGTTTAATCGCTGTCTGCTTTTGAATGAGAAGACCCCCGCGGGTCGGCAGAAGGCGGCTAAGCCGCTGAAGCGCTCGGTGATGGGCGACTTCATCAAAATCGCCGTGGATGGCTAGAGGGCTCTGAAAAGCCCTCAGGAGCTCGAGCGGGCTTTCGGTGGGTCAGATGGAGCGAAGCTGGCGATGAGGATTTTTGATGCGGCTCCAAACGAGTGGAAGCAGATGCTTATGGCGCCTGTCACGGCGCGCACGGTGCTCACTGTTTCTAAGTTCGTGCTCAAGGCGGGGACGAGTTACGGTGTCTGGAGGATTGAGTGTGTAGAGGGCGAAACCCTCGTCTGCCGTGCCATCAGATGCTTCCGGGGGGTCTTGGAGGAAGCAGAGGAGAGGACGCACAACTTTCTGCCGCATGAGGTGGTGCCTGCTGTGGTCAGGGAGGGGCGGCTGCTTGGTCCTGCGGGTGGTCCCAGGGCAAGATTGTTGTGCTCCCCCATCTGGGAGGGGGATCGGCCAGCGCAGCTGAAGCAACTCAAGGAGGGTTTCAGGCGGTTTGGCGGAAAACCAAAGCAGCAGAGCACGTGGGAGGAATCCCTCGGCCGTCCGATTGACTGGGGGAGGGTGATCGGGGTAAGGGACTCGCCTGCTCTTCCAAATCGTGCACGTGACGTGATGCTCCGGATCCACAGCCGGAACCTGCAGGTGGGGGAACGGTTACACTTTCTGGGCGCTGGGGTCGCCTGCCCCCACTGCGGGGAGAAAGAGACGCTGGAACATGGACTGTTTCTCTGCTCGCGCATTCAGCCGGTGGTTCGGGCACTGTTGAAGGCGCTCCGTATGTTAAATCCGCATCGGAAAATTGAATCTCTGGGTGACGTGGTCTTCAGGAAGGAGGGGACAGCTTCGGGATTCCCCGAGGCTACGATCACAGCAATCGCGTTCCACCGAATTTGGGTTGAAAGGTGTGACGCAGTTTTCGAGCGCAGCAAATTCCGGGCGAGGAGGGCTCTGCGGAGGATTGCGGCGTCCTTTCAGCTGCATGTCAGGATCTACAAGCGTGCTAAGGCAGTGTCTAAGAGGCTCGGTGCCATTCGTCCTGGTCTGGATGATGACGAGTGCCGGGTTTTGGGCCGTATCATGGACAACTCAGCTCAACCAGCCACGTGGTCCAAGGGCTTCATGGCCATCTGGTCGAACCCGAGGGCTGCTTTCCGCCCCCCTTAGAGGATCAGGATGGGTACGGAGGGAGCGATCCCCCTAGGCCCATCAGCTACAGTTACGACTGCCGATGTATTGTTGCACTTATAGTGTATCCTTGCATCAAAAAAAAAAAAAAACAAGAGGCGACGAATTCGTCTTAGGGTTGCGAAGCGTTTTGCGTAATTATATAAATTTGTACAACTTCTAATTCTGTACATAATGCTGTAATATGACACTAAGTGGTACTTCCTCTCACCAGGAAAAGGTCAAATGTACAGCGCGAACGAGTTTCGAACCAAAGACCTTCCGATTTCACTACATGCCTTGTACCACTGCTACAGCACAGATGTTTGTATTGAATAGCTAAATTATTCAGACATAAACAATTGCGACGAATCTGAGACTACCTTAGGGTTTGTTCGCCCTTTTTTTCTCCCGCTTCTCCTCGCTCGTCACGCTCTACCAACTTCTCCACCTACTCTAACTGCAACTTAGGTAAGAAGATCCCTCAACTTTAACTCCAACTAAATTAGATGCCTATTAGATAGACTAACATTTAGTCATTCCGTATCCTAGCCGTGTAAATGGATGAGTATTAGCGAGACTTAGTTGTTTAAACTTAGGTTCTCGGCCCTTTGTAAAGATTTCAGGTTCTCCTTCCTGCATAAGCTTGCATCTGTTTCTTCTATTCTTCATCCTTAAACTTTTCCTCTCGTCGGTTGCCTTTTCTTCATATTTGCATGTTTTAGTTCATTTTTTTCTCAACCTCGTCTTAGGTTGTACATAAAGATTGTAATAGGTTGCATGTTCAGTCCATTTCGTTCTCTCTCGCTCGTTCTCTCTCTCCCGTTCTCTCTCTCCCGTTCTCTCTCTCCCGTTCTCTCTCTCCCGTTCTCTCTCTCCCGTTCTCTCTCGCTCGTTCTCTCTCTCCCATTCTCTCTCCCGTTCTCTCTCGCTCGTTCTCTCTCTCCCGTTCTCTCTCTCCCGTTCTCTCTCTCCCGTTCTCTCTCTCCCGTTCTCTCTCTATCGTTTTCTCTCTCTCGTTCTCTCTCTCGTTCTCTTTCTCGTTCTCTCTCGTTTTCTTTCTCTCTCGTTCTCTCTCTCTCTCTCTCTCTCTCTCTCTCTCTCTCTCTCTCTCTCTCTCTCTCTCTCTCTCTCTCTCTCTCTCTCTCTCTCTCTCTCTCTCTCTCTCTCTCTCTCTCTCTCTCTCTCTCTCTCTCTCTCTCTCTCTCTCTCTCTCTCTCTCTTTCGTTCTCCCTCTCTCTTGTTCCCTCTCTCTCGTTCTCTCTCTCGTTCTCTCTCTCGTTCTCTCTCTCGTTCTCTCTCTCTCTCTCTCTCTCTCTCTCTCTCTCTCTCTCTCTCTCTCTCTCTCTCTCTCTCTCTCTCTCTCTCTCTCTCTCGTTCCGTCTCTGTCGTTCTCTCGTTCTCTTTTGTCAAATCTCTCGTTCGTTCTCTCTCGTTCGTCCACTCTCTCGTTCTCGCTCTCTCGTCCTCTCTCTCTCTCTCTCTCTCTCTCTCTCTCTCTCTCTCTCTCTCTCTCTCTCTCTCTCTCTCTCTCTCTCTCTCTCTCTCTCTCTCTCTCTCTCTCTCTCGCTCTCGCTCTCGCTCTCGGTCTCCGTTGTTCTCGCTCAACGTATTTGTTATATTCTCTTCGTTCGTTTACTGTCTGGTCATGTGTTTTTCCCTTTGTTCTCGTTCTTTACTTTCGTTTTATGCCTTAGTACATTTTCTCCTTGTTATTTGTCAGCTCTAACCCTTCAATGCTCATGGCGTTTTTCTTGGCCCTTGTATTGTTTCATTTGTTTCTTCATTATTCCTTTTTTCTTGTAATTTCATTATGCCTTGTTATTTCCCATTTGCCTTCCCTTCCTCAACCCAGCTTTGTCTTACTTTTCAGGCAGTCGAGCTCAATATGAGAAGTAGACTGATATTGCTTGTGACTTACAGTATAGGATACATAATGTCTTGGTGATTTAGGTTTCTATTTCATATGCGGTTAATATGCTTTGTCAGTTGGCTTCGTGCGTGCGTGTCTGTGTGAATGTGTATGATCATGTGTATGCGTTGTGTTGTGTGCGTATGCGTTTTCATTCATGTTTCCATTGCATTAATAACACATGTCTGTGGGGTTTAAAAATTGGGATCAAACTATCATTTCCGAGAAGGTTCTTTGCGCACTCAGTGAGTGTGTCCATTCGAACTGGATTTGATGGAATTGACCTGTTTTTTATATCACACAGATTGTGTTGTTTCATGTAACAGTTGGATGATTCAGAAATTATGCTATTGAGCTCCCCCCCATGCTAGGCAGGGGATGCGGTAGCATAGGGTCTGCGTCAATTACCGTCACCCCCCGGATATACCCCCATGGGGGGCAATAATAAAACAGGTTTTTTCAAGGGGGTGGGCTTATAATCGAGTAAATTTATAAGCGCCGGCGTTTATAAAATGACATTCATATTTTTTATATTGTTTAACACCAAACTGTAGGTCTCGTGCTTGCCCTTTCAATCGAGTCGAATTTACATGGGGTCGTCTGTGAAATTCTCGCGCGCGCTGGGAGACACACCCAATCTGACTCACATCCAGCTCCTGACAGCTCCTGCTGACTGGACCCGCATCCAGTGCAGGGTCCGAATGTGAAGGGAACCGAATCTGCAACATATCTGCCTGCTAAAGTAAAAATCATTACAACGTTTTGTACACATTTCAAATTTTAAAGTTTACGTGCGCTTATAATAAAACTAGTTTTTTCAGGGGGTGCGCTTATAATCGAGGAGGGGATATAAGCGCCATATGCCAATTAGAAGCGCCAGGCGCTTATCCTAGGGTGGCGCTTATATCCGGGGGGTGACGGTAACTGTTACGCACTTCCATCATGCTGTGCATTTATTTCATTACGGTACCGGTAGTACCGTATATGCATTATACTTATGCATTTGCATTTACTTCATCTACTTATAACAACAGCAGACATATGCATCACGGAATAAACAGTTATGCATTCACAGTACATCATTTTGGCAACTCATGAAATATAGGTTCAGTCAAAGTAAACTAGGAAATGAGAAAGAATGTGGTTCAGCACGTGGTAAATTGACGCGGCAGATACATAGCAGTCAGTCATTTAGCTAGTACCGTTCACTATATTTTTTCCCTCTATTTTTTAAAGGTATTGAGGATTGAAAAAAAAAATTGTACATAACGATTGTAATAGGTTGCTTCGCAACCCAAAAAAAAAAATCCCTCATCCCTTCTTACATACGGTGGATGGTGGTTATATTCCGCTGTTCATGTCATGTGATGTCATCATCTGAAACATCAACTCCAATCAAGCGTGTGTGAGCTGTGCATGCATGCACTTTTGAGTAGGCTGTGCCTGTTAAAACGCACGAATAGCTAAGCCATCTCAGCACAGCATGTGCTGGTGTTAGGGCGCATGTGAGTGGAAGATCAAAATGGGACTGCACCACCTAATGTAGACCGTGTGGTCCCCTCAGCTGCCCTGCCCTGCATAGGAATTACATTGTTACCATACTCATTCAGTCACCCCAATTGCCCTGCCCTGCTCCGACATGCCACATAAGAAATGGCTGCAGAGCAGTTGTGAACTGTGCTTACAACGCCTGTACCTCTTGAAACAACTCCCGACAACAACCCCTCCTCAATGCGCGGCGTTGCACAAACCACAGCTTGCCTTTCATGCCACAGCCACCCATCCTGCTCCTCACACCTTGTCACCAAAATCTCCCTGCACCACCGAACCACCCACCCAACCACACTTCCACCCCCCCTCCCCCTCCCCCCCCACCCTCCACTTGCCCTCATCCACAAGTCCTGTCCTGCTCCCCCTTCCTCCGCCCTTCCACCCCCCCTGATCACACGGCCCTGGCGCGCCTCTGAGCGGGGTGCAGCAGCAGGCGGGAGCGACGGTCGAGCACCACACGCACGGCCTTGACAATCTCCTCCTTGGTGAGAAAGAGCAGGGAGGCGGCGAACACGCTCTGCGCCATCTTGGTGCCCATCCCGTGGTAGAACCCCCGCACGCCCTCGTGCCGCACTATCTTGAATATCGCATCCCACATGCCTGTTGCGAGGGTGGTGATGGGGAAGGTTTGTGTGGAAGGGGAGTAGATGGAAGGGAGGGAGAGGGTGTGGGTGAGGGAGGTGGTGAAATGGTTCTGGTTGGGGGAGAGGCAGGGTTGAAACGGCTTCGGAGGGGTTGTAAGGGGTTGGAACGGGTTGGGAAGGGGAGGAGTGGGGGTTGAGGACGGCAGATGAAGAGGAGGAGCTGAGGCGATTGAAGGCAATGTGGTGGCAAAGCAGGTGTGTTGGAGGAGATGGCAGCGGAGGGAGAGGCGCACACACACCTGCGTACCGCTGCCCTGCCGTGTGACGCGCTTGCAGGCGTGACTGCACAATGGGAGAAGTGGGGAGAGAGGGGGAGGGAAATTGAGGGAACGAGGGCGCGAGTAGGAAAGGGGAGGGGAGGGAAGAGGAGGGGCGGGTGGTTTGAAGCAGAAATCACAAGATGCTGAAAAGAGGAGAAATTATTGAGCAAGACAAGACAAACCAGAAGCAAAGAAAGAAAAGAAAAGAAAAAGTGTCGACTCAATCCACCCTAGGCCTCTCATCTCATGTGCTGACTGGCAGGCAGCCCCCCCCCCCACACACTCACCTTGACGACAAGCATGGGGTACGTTGCGAGCGTGGCTCCTATCTTGGCCAGCGCCCCCACCAGAAAGATCTGCTCACAGGGGGTGTGGTGCACATGGGTTTGCATAAGGGGCACAGCATGTGGTGAAGAAACAGTCTTGAGCCCCCCCCCCTTGCCGATAGGTTAGCTGGCACACGGAGCTACCATGCTGCACACGGGTCACTTATAGCACCACCCTAAACTGCAGAGAAGCGAACGGCAGGGAGATGGATGCAGCAAGCAGCAAGGAGCAAGAAACAAGCAAGGGGCAGCAAGAACCAAGGAGCAAGCAACAAGCAGGCGGCAGGGAGCAGCAGGGAGAGAGTGCAGGGAGGTGCACGGACCTCAGTGGAGGTGGCGGACTTGGCGCCTCCCCTGGCAGCCGGGCGCGCTGCTGTGATGCGCGCCAGCAGCGTCTCGTAGATCATGAACTGGATGGCCGGGTTGGTCACCTGGTGGGGGGGAGGGAGGGACGAACACATGGTGTGACATGGCATGGCATGGCATGGCATGGCATGGCATGGTGTGCTTGGATGTGCATGTGCGTGATGCAGCAGTTCAGGCAACAAGGAGGAGGTGACCTAGACACCAGAGAGCCAATGCTGAACGTGGATAATAAAACGGGAAAAGGCGAGAAAGGGGAATTGGAAAGATCTGGATACGTGGAAAGGCGGACAGAGGTGGTGTTACCATGAGCAGGGTTGGGAAGACTCCCTTCCAGAATCCAAGGATGCCTGCCTCCTCAAATAGCTCCCATATCTGCCATGCATGCACGTGTGCGTGCACACACACACACGCACCCACACACACGCACACACATGCACACACACACACACACATGCACTCACACACACACATGCACTCACACACACACACACATGCACTCACACACACACACATGCACTCACATACACACACACACACACAAATGCACTCACACACACACAGAGACATGCACTCACACACACATGCACTCACACACACACAGAGACATGCACTCACACACACATGCACTCACTCACGCGCACACACACACACACGCACACACCCACACACACACATGCACTCACACACACACACACATATACTCACACACACATGCACACACACACACACACACACACACACACACACACACACACACACACACACACACACACACATGCATGCACGCACTCACGCACGCATATGCAGTCACAAGCATGCACGAGCAAGCACAGAGAGGAGAAAGCATGAAGATACAGTGAGCCCCAATGTGCCTTCCATGCAGCTGCTCAAGTGCTGCCCACGCATGCCCTCCCTTCCCCCCACCCCTCACCCCTCACAGCACAGCACCTACCGTCTCCAGCACGCCATGAGGCCGCCCCACCAGCTGCTGCCCTCCACTCCCCGGCGCCCGCAACGGCCCCTCCCCACTCCCCTCCTCGCCCCACCTCCCTCCACCCCCTCCACCCTTCCCACTGCCTCCGCCACTACCGCTCCTCCCACCCCCCCCTCCTCCTCCGCTTGCTCCTCCCCCCCAGACACCACCCCCACTGCCACCCCCGCCTGTGGCATCACACGTGCCTGAGCCTGATCCCAGCACAACACCTCCTGCACCCCTCTCTGCGCCTGCTGCTGTGTTTCTCTTCACCAGCGCCCCTCCCGCCCCGCCCACTCCCTCTGACCGCTGCGCGACTGCCTCCTTCCCCCGGGTATCACTCGCGGCACCTGCTGCAGCGTCAGCAGCATGTGTGGGCGGCGAGGCACTGGTGGGTTGAGAGGCAACCGGGCGGCGGGCGATGTAGATGGGCGGCGGCAGGCCCTGTGTCTGGGTCTGGCAGGCGGCAAGGGACGAGAGGAGGCAGAGAGGGGTGGTGTGGGGGGAAGGTGGGGGAGCGTGGAATTCGGTGGCGGTTAGAAAATGGGGAACAAGCGAGGAGAGAGCAGCTGGAACAGTGGATGAAACGACGCGCACAGGGAGGAGCAATTTAAAGGATGTGGGGGGGCCAGAAGCACAAGATACGGAGTCTGGCAGGAAAGGGAAGGAGAAGGGAAAGGGGGGGGGGGGGAAGGTAAGGAGAAGGGGAAGGGAAAGGGGAAGGGGTAGGGGTAGGGGTAGGGGTAGGGGAAGGGGATGGGGAAGGGGAAGGGGAATGTGAAGTGGGCAGCACACCTGCATGCGAGTGACGATGACCCAGATGGGGTTGGTCAGTAACACGTTCACTGACCTGGTGCCATGCCATGCACATGCACATGCACATGAACACACATGCACATGCACACATGCACGCGTGCACACACACACACACACACACACACACACACACACACACACACACACGCACACACACACACACACACACACACACGCACACACACACACACACACACACACACACACACACACACACACACACATCACACATGCACATGCACATGCACATTCATGCACGCACGCACGCAGAGGAGCACGGGGATAAGTGAAAAAAGGAGGAGCCAGAATGCTGTGTGTTAGTGAGGGTACGACAGAAAGAGGTCGCACAGAACAACGCGAGCAGCAGCAACGGCAGGGGACGAACCCAGCAAGTGCAGCGACGAGCATTGACTTCTGAGAAGCCTCAAAAAACGGCGGCAGCAGCAGCAGCAGCAGCAGGGGACGCACCCAGCAAGCGCAGCGACGAGCAGCGATGTGATCATGGTGACCTGCCCGCTGCCCATGCCCTGCGCCTTGCGCACCGCCGCTAGCTGCTCCACGTGGCTGCGGAATAGCTGGTAGAAGAAATAGTACACGCCCTGCGCGCACCCAGGGGGAGCGGAGGATGGGGGGAAGAGGGGAGACGGGGAAGGAAGAGAAGAAACGGAAACACCCCGGGCCATAGGTTTGTGGGTGGGAGGTGAGGAGCGGAGAACGAGAGAGACGTTACCCTTGGGGGGTAGGAGAGGAGTGACAGGGACCGGATGGGAAGCGTGCGAAGGGGGGAGAAGGGGGCAGGAGCGGGGGGAAGGGAGGCGCACCTGCGAGCACGCGGTGCCCACGAGAGATGGCTCTAGCCCCCGGTACAAGCCCGCCAGCCCCTCCCGCTGGAATATCTGCGCGCGACGCACGGGGAACGCGGATGAGTGGCGAGCGCGTTGGGGATGGACGGGTGGGGGATGAGAGGTGAGAAGGCCGAACTGACAAGGTGCGCGTGGTGAGCGTAGGATTCGTGCAGATAAACAGAAAAAAGCGGGAATTGCGGGCGTGCAGGGGGCGAATCACCTCCCACATCTCCTGCTGCGTGCTCTTGTGCGCCACAGCGCGCCGTTGACCCGCCCCCGCCGCAGCAGCGCCGTTCGCACTCGGAGCGGCGCCTTCGCCGGCGCCATGCGCGCCGTCTCGCTGCTCCCTCGCTAGCAACCGTCGCTGCGTCTGCTGCCGCGTGTTCACCTGCCAAATACACCCACGGCACCACCACGTACGAAACACACCCGTCGGGTTTTTGTGGAATTGCTAGCTAAAACGCATCCAGACGTACGAAAAGGTGCGGAATGAGCGGTTACGATGCTACGGTAGCGCAGTTGGGCGAGCTAGGGCTTTGAATTCCGCAGATTGTAACCCGCGTGACCGAACATACAGCGGATCGAGCTGCGAGGCTCCAAAGAACGCACCGCTTGCAGCGGGTACGTGACGAGTTGCGCGAGGATTCCGCCGCACGCCCCCGCCAAGCCGTTGACCAACGCGTCCGACATTTCGCACACCACTCGTTGCCTGCTGACGCTCACGGGTAATAACGCACGTCGCGATACACCTATAACGGGACGCCTACCAGCCGTAGATGTCGAGGACAAACCGTTCCGGTTGGTCGAAGCGCTAAAGATCGCGGAGGTAGATTCGGTGAGGAAAATGGGCGCGAGTTGAGCGCGCATGCTCGATAGCAGCCCGCTTGATCTCGCCAATTCCGCTCCGTCGGGGAGCTCCACTCACAGGAGGATGTTGAATCAGTGCACTGCACTGTGTTGATATGCGCACAGCAGTTGCAGCAAAACAGAGGCCGAAATCCAGCAAGGCAGAGCCATTCCAGTCACGTACACTGAGGGTGCGTTCCTGGCTAGTGTCAAACTTCCGGTCAGACTTCGTGTTTTCCGAGCCAGGGGCGATTTTTTGCGGGAAGACCCGAAGTGGGGCCAGCTGTGGGGCGAGCTTCGTGTCATCCCGGGAAGACCGGAAGTTTGACACGAGCCAGGAACAAACCCTAATGCCACATGCCTGATGGGTTTGGTTGGAATGGCGAAAATCTCCCGAAAGAGATATTTCGGCTACTTTTGCGCCACCAAAGTCACCGCCAGCATGTGGGTAGATCACCGCTGGCGAGCGGTCTGTGGGGGTATTTCCCCTGGTTCGACCATGCTGAAAGTGAGGAGCCGACGAAGTGAAGAGAGGTCGTGCTCCATGCGCTGGGCCTAATCGCTGAAATCCTGCAGTGGAGAGCATGTCAACTATCTGGCGAGTTTGGTTTGAAGCCTTGCTTCTGACCCCACAAAAACAGTTGCGGTGCATGCGTGGGACCACAGTGACGTGGAGATCGAAGTGACCCACGTGTCTTGACATCCTACTAAGGACACAGAGTAGCTGGACTGTGTTCTCAAAAGCTGTTACAGAGCTAGACCTTTAAGTGCCACTTCACCTAAATAACATATTTCAAGCTGATAGAAGCACCCTTTGAACTGTAACCAAACCACCATCAATAATCGTAAAAGCTGTAATCATCTACATTCTCGTAGTCGTCGTCGTACATCTCACCCTCCCAGTCCCGACGTCTCTCCCACCTGTTTCCAGAACCCTTGCCAGTCTCTCCACGCTTGGCCCCACCAGCACCATTAGCCGCAGCACCACCAGCTTGTCGCGGTGCATTATTCTGGTTGCGCCGGCTGCTCCCACCACCTGATGCTCGCTCGCTCCAGTGAGGTTGCTGTTGCTGCTGCTGGGACCGAGAGCCTGTGTGTGTGTCCTGATTACTTCGCCTTCCCTTATCACCTGTGCCTCCTCCACGGCTCGATGCACCACTGCCGGTACTAGCCCCGGAATAGTCCTGATGCATCACGAGAGCAACCATAGGCACCACATCGAAAGCAAAAAGTGAAGATGGAATTACAATGGGGGACAAGGCGTCATGAAGAGAAGCGTTAAGCGAATGTGTTCCAATGTTCTCTATGCAAAGAAAGCATGTATCAAAGCATGAGGCATGCTGAAGGATCTAACGAGGAACTCACCTGACGTCGCTCCCAAGAGCTTTCATTGGCCCATCGGCTTTTGTAACTGCTGTTGCCGCGCGCACCGTATCCAAATGTCGACCCAAACACCTCATCTGCTGCAGCAGATGCTGCGGCGGCTGCAGCTGCGGCTGCAGCTGCTGATGAGGACGAGTACCGAGAGCGCATTTTGCGCACCCGCTCCTGTGCATCGTACTCAATTCTCTGGAGTGGACAGCATGGAGTGACACCAAACCATATAGGTAGGGAAAAGAGGGAGCAGCCATGGAAGCTACCATAAGCAAAACAATGGCACATCCATAGATCAGCTAACAATGGCACACAGGCGAACTGGGGCACAGAATCTCAGGAGAAGTGGTTTATGGATGGAGACAGGTTTGTGCGACTGGGAAAAGGAGCTAGGGAGGGTGAAGGGGAGGAAAGGGGGACGGAAGGAGGTAAGGGAAATTGGGCAAGGAGTGGGGGTGGGAGCAAGCGCACCTTGGTTTCATCAGAGAGCACGTTGTAGGCGTGCCCGATGGCCTTGAAGAGGCGGTCCGCATCGCGCTGTATCTCCTCCCCCAGCTCCCTGCTCAACCACCCATCTGCATCGCCCCTCCCTGGAAACAACAGCTGCGCCGCCTGCATAACAGAGAGGCAGGGAGAGAGGTGAGTCTGGATGAAGGGATGGGGGGAAACACACAACCCCTGCCACAGAGAGCAAGGCAGCATGGGCTGAACACAAGTGCCAGCAGAGCACAAGACGACGTTCCCGCATGTGACAAGGGATGCAGTGTGAGAGAAACCCACTGATCAGCGGAGAAGAGGAAGCTTACCTTGTCTGGATGGTGCCTTAAGGCTGCCTTGCGGTAGGCCTTCTTGACATCCGCCGCCGTGCATGCATGGTCCATGCCCCTGCCACACACACACACGGCCCACACACAAGGTTTCAAAGAGAGCAAGGGCATCGCCACCATCACGAAAAGGAGGCTACCAACCAAGCAAGACCCAGGGCGGGCACAGCTGTTTTATAAGGCCTAAGCCCCAAAGCCAATGCTCAACAAATAATGCGAAACGGGCCACATGAGCAAGCATGCGGATGAGGACTCTCAAAAGGGGCCATACAGCATGAGGTAGTGGTCGGGCTGCTGCTCGTGCTGCACCTCCTTCTGCACGCGCCCCATGCGCTCCTTCACCTGCCGCTCATCCACCACACTGCTTCCCACCCCACTCTTGCCACCGCTCTTGCCAGCGCACGCCTTGCCACGCACGAGCAGCAGCAGGCGGTCGAGGTCTGCCAGGGCGTGCTCGTACTCCCGTGCGCTCTCCCACAACGTGGCACGCCGCCAGATGGCCTGTGAGGTGTTTACATACACGGTACACAACAATTAGGCGAGATGGAAGGATGCAGATGGCACAGAGAGGCGTTCAGGGAGGACAGGTGGCCAGTGTGTGAGAACATGAAAGCTCGGTTCACAGGTACAAGAGAAAGTGGGAGACACAGAGTACGCGAAGGAGGGACCAAGGAGGAGGCAGATTGGGGATACAAAGAGGTCAGAGAGAGCGCCCGGCATAGAGAAGAGAGGGAGCTTCCGTCCTTACTCATCTCATAGCACACGTGCGCGTGCAGTGCACACCTTGGCATAGGAGGGATCGAGAGCAATGGCTCTGCTGCAGTCCGCAATGGCATCTGCAATGTTGCCCGCGGCATGGCTGGCAGCAGCGCGGTTGCAGAAGCACACTGCGGAGAAGGGGCGCGAGGCAGCGAGCGCCGGCAGCGTGATAGCCGCTGTGTATCGCTCCACCGCCTCCTCATGCCTGCCCGCTTGGAATGCCTCGTTGCCTGCAGCCTGTGGGCAGGGGCGAGAGAGAAGGGGAGAGAGGTTTAGGGCGTGGAGAAGGAACAGCAGGGAGTGAGGAGAGGAGAGGGAGCAGCAGTGAGAAGTGGTGGATAGGAGACGAGCAGGGAGGGATCCGGATTGGGGACGGAAGGAAACGGTGTGCAGGTTGTCAGGTGGCAATGGTGACGGTAGGCCGTGTTATGCACTGTGATGTGATGTGACTTGCCAACCAGGAAGGAGCAGCAAGGGTGACGCACAGCACAAGAGCAGCACGATGGCACATGATCCTGGAGGCCCTTCCACAGGTGTTACCCACCCAGCCAGTGCACAGTGCAGCAAGCAGGGTGGGGAAGCAGAGTGCAAGATGCAAGCACCCACCTTGAGATGCAGCATCTCCTGGATGGACCGTGTGAAGTCTGACGGCGCAGTGGTATCAGGAACAGCAACTGCATACAGCCCTGCTGCTCCACCCCCCCTCTCTGCACCCTCGCCGCCTCCACTACCAGCAGGATCCCCAGCGCTGCTCTCAGGATCCAGGGCCAGGCCATCAAGTCGCGACAGCTGCTCTATCGCATCCTCCAGTCGCCCCTGCCCGAACCGTGCCCGCCCCACCACTGCCCACCGCCACACCAGGTGCCCCTGCTGCCCCTTGCTGCTGCTGGCGACTGCTGCAGCAGCGGGTGCGGCGTGGTTGCTCTCAGAGGCAGAGAAGGTGCTCTCGCACAGATGGCATGCGTCTTCGTAGCGAGTCAACTGATGGCGCAGCCAACCCCCCCCCCCCCCCCCGCACACACACACAGACACATACCCACACACACAGCCAGACAGCCAAGACATACGGCCAGAAGGACAGGCGGACAGACAGACGGATAGATAGACAGGAGACATGGGAGAACAGCTCAAAGGCAAAGGTGAGCGAAGAAAATGGAAAGGGATGACAGAGTGGATGCACCAGGGGAGGGAAAATAGGAACAGGGGACAGCCATGCAAGACAACTTGGCAGCAAACTCTTACAAACAAAATGCTCCAGCACTCCCCAGCACCACCTCCCACTATGCCGCTCATTCCACACACCCCCCACGTCGCCCTCAAGGGCACTCACGAGCAGCAGAGCGCGTGCCTTGGCGCACAGCAGCACTTCCCAGTACGGACACACCTCCCCAACCCTCTCCAGCAGCCCATACGCCTCCTCCGCTTCCTTCCCCATCACCACCCCTGATGCCGCTCCTGCTGCCGCCGCCCCCCCCGCTCCTGCTGCTCCCCCGCCTGCTCCCCCTCCCCCCACCGCCCCTGCTGACGCTGACCGCGAAATTCCCCCCCCGGCCCCTTCTGCCGCTGCCCCTGCCCCGCCAACACCCCCTGCAGCAGCAACAGCTGCGGGCCAGACATGCGAAGGCACACGCAGCAGTGCAAGAGCCTTCCCCATGCTCCCCTCCACCTGCTCCACCTGCAGCAGCCCTTGCTCTGCCTCGCGTGCCACCTTGGGATCTCCGCCTGCTACACCCTGCGACAATCCCAAGGGCTGCTGCTTTAGAGACAGGTACACCTGCCGTGCCTCTCGCAGCTCACCGAGTGCCAAGTGGCAGCTGGGGATTGGTGCATTGGTCGGATGGGGATGTTGCAAAGCGGCAGGGGAGAGCATGGGAGAGGGGATGGGGTGGGGGCGGAGGGTGCAAGGAGAGGGAGCATTGGAGAAGACGCAACATGATAATCGTGTAAATTGTGCTGCTCTGTGGGCGCATAGTCGTTGAATGGGAACGAAGCAAGCAGCGGAACGAGGGAAGGGGAGAACAGCGTCTTACGTCTGATAACGCACACCACCACACTCCACCGCACTCCACCACCACGCACCTGGCCATGCGCAGCAGCACGCGCGAGAACGACCCGTCAATAGCAAGCGCAGCGCGGCAGTCGCGCAGGGCCTCGCGCACCCTTCCTAGGTGCTTGCGCGTGGCTGCGCGGTTGCTGTGGCACAGCATGGCAGCACGCATGCAGTCGGGGAACGCTGTGAAGGCCGCCGCAGTGCTGAGCCCACGCGAGTAGAAATCCTCTGCCCTCGCGTACTCTCCCTTGCCATACACCTGGTTGCCCCTGGAGGATGCAAGACACGCCGGGGGGAAAGGAAAGGGTGCGAGTGGCAGGGGGTGAGGGAGGTATGGGAATGGTGAGGATGGCAGAGGTGACAGGGGAGTGCTGGTGGTGGTGAATAGGCAGGTGCGAGTGGCAGGTGGATTTGGGAAACGGAGGGGCCGTAAGCAGGAACGTACTTGAGCCTCCATTTCTCGCATGACTGCTCTGCATCCTTGGCCGCTCCTTCAATGCCTCTCCTTGCTGCCCTTGCAGGCTCTTCTCCCGCTCTTCCTGCTCCTGCCCCAGCCTCCTTCCTCACACCACTCGCCCCACCAGTACCAGCAAAACGATTAGTCCTTGCAGCATCACCCGTGCCTTTTGCATTACCAGCAGCAGCAGCAGCAGCAGCGGAGGTAGGCCCATCACCCGAAGCTGCATCAGCAGCAGCAGCAGGCACGCGAGCAGCAGAGCCAGCACCCCCGGCACCAGCAGCTCTCTCTCTAGAAGACACCTTCCCCCTCCTGGTCCCCTGACCCATGCGGTGCGGCGTGTGGTGGCTGTGCCTCGCACTACCAGCACCACCCCCAGCAGCAGCAGCACCAGGTGCAGCACGTCTACCGCCAGGGGAAGCAGCCCCTGCAGCGAATCTGAACCCGGCCAGGTCCTCCAATCGAACCTCTGCTGCTCTTGCCTGCGCTGCCGCTGCTCCCGTCGCTCCAAACAACCCCACATCCTCAACCAACCCCCTCGCCTGCTCCTGCTGCTGCCCTTGCTCTTGCTCCCGCTGCTGCACACCTTGCCCATCTCCTTCCCCTTGCCTTGCCTTCTCCTCCTGTATTCCCATCTGCCCCAGCTTCACACCAACACCATCCACCTCAGGTCCCTTAGCAGCCTCCCCACCGCTCTCCCTCCTCCCACTGCTCCCACTACCCGCACCATAACCTGACACCCCTTCACCTGTGACGCTAGGAGGGATGCGACCCTCACCACCAGGAGAGCAATCCATGGGGCTGGGGCTACTACCAGTCACCGCCCCAGCAGCACCATTCCCAGCAGCACCACTCCCTGCAGAGCTCCTCTGGCTTCCCCCTCTACTGCCTATCGCGGGCGGCGTTACTGATGGCGGGGTGGTGAAAACGGGCGTGAAGGGAGTGGGCGGAGACGAGGAGGGCGCGAGAGGGGACGTGAAGGAGAAGGTGAAAGGCGCAGATGGTGCTCCCGGGGTGGACCCGAATTGGAAAACGGGCGCTGCTGTGGCGGCAAAGGAGGCAGCTTCTGCCGCTGCTGCTGCAGCTGTTGACGATGGTGACATGGTTGCAGCAGCAGCAGCAGCAGGCGCCAAAGCAGTCGCAGCAGCAGGGGCTGAATCCCTAACAGGTGGTACAGCAGCAGCAGCAGCAGCAGCAGCAGCAGCAGCAGCAGCAGCAGCCGCGGCGGTGGCGGCAGGAGGAGTGTGGACACCCGCAGGCTTCCCCTTGGCTATGTCACCATTAGCCCTGCTTCGCCCCCTGTGACCACTACCCTCTCCGCCCACCCTCGTCCCTTTCCCAAACACAAACGGAGGAGCCTCAGTACCAGGTGCGGTTGCAACCCCAAACGAGAACACGGGAGCTGCGGCCGCAGCCGTAGAAGCATCAACAGCAGCAGGTGCTGCTGCTGCTGCAGATGTAGAGCTGAACAGGGGGGCGGAGGGCGTGGAAAAGAGCGGTGTGGATGTAGAAGGTGGGGTGGGAATTGGCGCAGGTGATGAGGCGAAGGACGTGGGCGGGGTGTGGAACGATGGCGACGACTGGCCAGAAAAACGGACGTGGGAGTTGGGGTTCGGGGTTGAAAAGACAAAGGCAGGGGTGGTGCTGAGCGGCGGTGTGGCAGCAGCAAACAAACCAGCGAAAGCAGGTGGCGTAGATGCATCAAGAGGGGCCGCTTGCCTTGCAGCAGGCGTCTCTTGAGACGGCTGTGGAGGTGGTGGTGAAGCAGAGGTGAGCCCTTGAGGAGAGTGGCCCCAGGGCCCTGGGGACACAGCCGTGGGTCCTGGGGGAGTGAAGGGCCGTGGGGGAACAACAGTGGTGGGGCCTGAGCCAACAAAGGACTCCCTTCCCAGGCGCAGCCCGAGCCTGAGGCCAGACGCTAGCCCATCCATGTACAGCTTGAGTTTCTCGTCTGACCCTGGGCCTGTTGGTAGGTTCAGCGGGAGCGAGCTGAGATTCAGGTTCGCTAGGAGATCCGGCACTGCTGCTGCTGCTTCTGCATCTTCCTCTGCTGCTGCGGCGGCGGCGGCGGCAGCTGCCGCTGCTGCTGCAACAGCTGCTGCTGCGGCTGCAGCGGCTCCCTCCCTGCTTGCTGCTGCTGCGTTGCTTCCTCCGCTTCCTTCCTGCCCCCCCGCACTCCCCGTCTCCTCTGCAGCATCACCATCACCACCAGCAACAGCAGATTCAACAGACAATTTCAACCTCGCCAGTTGCTCGTCCACCTGCTCCTCCTGCTGCTGCTGCTGCTCATGCTCCTTCCGCCACTGTTTGTGCTGCCCCCTTCCCTCACCACCACCCTCCTCTCCCCCGCCACCGCCCTGCTCACCACCAGCACCCACACTCAGCTCTTGCAACCGACTCACCACACTCTCCACCTGCCTCACTCTCGATTCACCCTCACTCCCGTCACCTGTCTCTCCAGCCTTGTCCGCACTCAGCCTTGCCCGCACTCCCGTGCCACCACCACCAGCACCACCACCAGCACCACCAGCACCACTGCCAACGGTAGTCGTTGTACTCGTGCCACTCATTGTAGGAGTAGCTGAAGAGGCAGAAGAAGCTGCAGAGGCAGAAGAAGCTGCAGAGGCAGAAACAGAAGCAGAAGCAGAAGCAGGAGGAGAAGGAGGGTGTACGTCCGTCTCAGGGGCGTGGGGCAGCACCCCCCTCACAGCCATCTTCGCCATCTCTGCTTGCACACTCGCCACTGCCGCCGCCAACCCACTGTCGCCGATCTCCACGCCTGCCATCCTCTCCCCTATCGCCCGCACACTCGCCTCTCCACCCACCGCGTCCCTCCACTCCTCCCTCACCCGCCTCTCCTCTGCTCCCTCGGTGCCGCTCGCCGCACCTGCCTCCTTTGCTGCACCAAGCTTCTCACCGTTCTCCCCTGCCCGCCCCTGCGACTCTTGCTCATCTTCTCGCGACCTAGCAACGCCCTTTGCGTGCCTCGCCTCCCCCTGCTGCGCTTTCTCCTCTTGCTCCTCTTGCTCCCCTTTCTCGCCTTCCTCCCCATCCGCTGCTGTATCCGCGCCAAGGCCCTCCTCTGAGCGCATCTGCTCCTCCCCAATCCCCACGCGGGCCCCACCCGCCCCACTGCCTGCGCCGTCCTGCTCTCCAGAGCCCCCAGCCACGCCCCACTGCCGCAGCCCAAGGCTCAGCCCCAACCCCATGTCTGCCTCCTCCTTCCCTGCCTTCCCTGCGCCTGCTGCTGCTGGGCTACTCGAATCTGCGGGCGCTGGCGCGAAGCTCTCCGCGTCCGCCGACCTCACCGCGTCAGCCGACCCCACTCCGCGCGCACTTCTCCCCCCTCGCGCAGCAGCCCTCCCTCCGCCTGCCCGCCTGCCCACCATTGCCCTCCTACGAATTCCCGGCGTGCCTGCGCGGGCCTCCTGTGCTGCCACGTGTCCCTCTGCCACTGCTCCAAATACCACCTCGGGCAGCGGGGCAAGGCGCGCGGCAGGGTTTGCGCTTGTACCTGTGAGCGCGGAGTTGGCGCGGGCAAGCGGGTCCAAGCGCATAGTGGGTGCGGGCGCGGAGGGGGCGGGGGCGGCGCCGAAGATGAAGCCAGGGGAGGGCTGCGCGCCCGCACTCAGGGGAGGGCTCGCGGTGTCACTGCGCTCGTGCTTGGTTGGGGATGCTGTAGACGCAGAGACGGGCGGGACAGCAGTAGCAACAGGAGCAGGCCCCGCCGCAGCAGCCGCTGCAGCAACAGCAGCAGCCGCAGGAGCAGCAGCCGCGGCGGCAGCAGGAGGAGGTTCAGATGCGGCGCTGTCCTGCACATGGGCATCGCCCTCAGCAGCCATGGCTCGTAACCCAGAACCCGCCACTGCTGCAGCATCGTCCGCATCTGCTCCGCTGCTCGAATCCCTTCCAACACCACCATTATCGCGTACCATACCGTCCGCATCCTGCCCACCACCCACCCCAGTAGCAGCTGCAGCCCCTGCAGCCGGTGCGATCCCCCCCTTGCCTGCCACCCGCGAGCTGCGCGACTTGACCTTCTTCCCGCCCGCGCGCGCGCCCTCCGACGCCATGCGCGGCCTCACTGCGCCTGCTGCCGCGAACGGGGCTGCAGCTGTCGTTTGAAACACTGGCGCAGCGTCGACGGCGGCGGAGGAGGAGGCGGTGGAGGAGGAGGAAAAGAGCGGTATGGTTCCAGGAGGGCCCGTTGAAAAGGGCGCTGAAGAGGAGAAAAGCGGCGGAGTTTGGGAGGTGTGAAACAGGGACGAGACGAACGGAGGCGGAAGCACGGACGGCGGTTGTGAGGCGGACGAGGGGAAGGCGGAGGAGGTGGAGATTACGGGAAAGGGGGTCCCAAAGAGCGGAGCAGGTGCGGGTGAGGCGGAAGCATCGGAGGTGGGAGGGCGAGGGTATCCGAAGATATTGAATGAAGGAAAAGGCATCGCGCTAGTACTTGTGGCCGGTGAACCGTTAACTGACGTCGGCGCAGAAGACGGAGTGTCAGTCGCGGCAGCAGCAGCAGCCGCACTGGTAAGCGCAGCGGTATCGGCAGTGGCGGTTGCAGCAGAGGCAGCAGACGCGGTTGAGACGGATGCACTAGCAGCTGTTACAAACGACTCGCTAGATTCACCTGAATGGCTATCGTCAGGCAAATCACCAGCAGCAGTTTCCGCCGTTGCGGACGGCGCACGAGGTGTGGAAACGCCATTGCCGAAAGAGAACCCTGCTGCTGGATTCACCTCGAAAGCGGACCCGCCGGCGACCTTGCTAGGTTTCAGCCAAGTCCAACCGTTCGCAGCCACATCACCCATGCCGTCACCCACGCCGCCATCCACGGAGGCAGTCTGACCAACAGGCACGTCACGGGCGGGTTCAGTGAAATCCGTGAGCATGGGTTCAGGGCTCGCGCTCTTCCCTCTCCCCCGGTTCCACCCCCCTCGCGCTACCCTCCGACTGTGCGTGCCCCGTGACGGCGCGCCGGCCGAGTCCCCGGACGGCCTCGATCCCTGCGCTTGCGCCTGCGCCACGGTTCCCCCTGTCCCAAAGCGAAACAGCGGCGGCTCTTGCGTTGCAGCCTTCGCTGGCTTCTTCGCAGCCATCGATGCAGGATCCGACCCGGATACAGACGGTCCGCTGGGGGTTACTAGCGGCGTTTCAGCTGCTCCGAACACGGAAAAGGGCGAGATGAACGCAGCGGAAGGGAAGGCAGCGGGAGGCTGCTGCTGCTGCTGAGATGACTGCGAGTGCGCATGATCCGACGTCTCAGGATCAAGATCCATGAAGGAGAGCCTTTTGCCGGATGATACTGCGTGTGCGTGCGCATCGCTGCTCGCCGTTCCCACGTCGGCAACCCGACCGGATCGCTTAGCGTGCACTATGCGGCGAGGCCTGCCCGACGGGGTTCCCCCGCGGGAACTTTGGTGAATGCTGGCCGGCATGGGCAGAGAGCGCGGAACAATCGGTGCTCGTCACCAGCGAAACACCCATCAAAGTGCTCCAAGAACGAGGGAATGATACAATCTAAACTCTGTGCTGCTAACGTCAGGGTTCTGCAAGTAAAACTCGTGGAAACGAAGGATTACGGGAAGCAGAATGGAAAGGCTGACGAAGCATACATGAATATCTGAATCTCGGAAGACAAAAGCGATGAAGAGAGAAAAGGAGGTGACAGCGAGATTCGCGCATGACAGCTAAGTGAAACGGCTAGTGGGGGTTTGTTGCGCTGGTGAAACAATTTCGCTCGCATCCGACTGACTCGGTGTCAGCTTTCCCGCAAAAACCAGGTGCAGAGTAGATTCGGTACAGAAAGCCTCGTCAGTGTTTGGGATTTTGCATCAAGGCGGATATGAAGAGTACCGGTATGCTTTTTCAGATCACTATTGCATTTTGCACACTTGAAGATAGTGACTACTTTCAATTCATCCATTATTCATACTCTTCTTGAATCCTTGCACCAGCTAGCGAAGTTAGACTAATGTTGCAACGCATGTAGCATTTCAAAGCATTCCAGAAGACAAGGTACAGAAATAGATATTACATTGAAAGTCATATTACATCTGCCATCAAACCACCCACCCTGCACCACCATTTGAAGCCGGCAACTTGAGAGATTGCAAGCACATGCAGTGTGCACCCCCCCACCCCAACCGTACCCGTAAGGCACACACCCTGTTCTCCACTTGACAGGCCTTCAGGGGCATATGAAGAGGACCGTGGGCTGTATTTTAGTGTATAGTAGCTACATGCCAAGGACATAAGGCATGCTGCATGGTGCCCTACCCCCGGGGGCCAGCGATTGCTGTGCCTGTGACGGAGGGTAGGGCAAGTATGGTGACGCATGGATGCGCAAGCTTTCATACATGGACAGAAACAGACAAACTCGCACACAGGCATGCACGGGCATGGCACATGTACGCACGGAAAACACACACACAGACACACACACACGCACATTCATGCGCTCACAGAATGAACCACACAAAGCAAACAAGACGCAAGAACAAGCAGAAATGCGCAACAATCACAGCGCAGATGGTGTTGCGCCCAGCGCATACCTTGTCCATCTCTCTCCTTCAACCTCCCTCCGTACGTAACCCATGCACATGCCACACGCAGCCCTCTCAGCACAGCATGTGCGCCCCACTATGGGGCCTCTCTTCCTCCCCATAAGCACCCCACAGCCCCACCACACTATCAGTGCACTCGAGACCACCTACCGCCTCCTCACCCCCTTCCACATGCATCCCCTGCTCTCCACCCCTCGCTGCAAAGCCATGGCCCTGTGCAGACCCTGCCGCTGTTGCGGCACCTGCAGCAGGATTGAATCCTGATGGGTCCGAGGGACGATAGGACGGTGGCGGCATGCAGGCATGAGCCTGGGGCGACGGAGCAAGAGGAGCGTGCCAGGCGTTGAAGCTGGGCTGCTGATTGGGAACATGCACGACCGCAGGTCGACCTGCGTGAACAGCCAGAGAGCCGGCCACAGCAGGGTCAGCAACAGACACACCAGCAGCAGCAGCAGCAGCAGGCCCGGAGCCAGCAGGCAACGCTGCAAGCTCGGCATGGGAGGGCATGATGGCAGCATCGTCAGGCACGGAGTAGTACTCCCCGTCCACCACAAAGCCGGTATCAGAGCCATCCGGGCACCACTCCAGCACCTCCATCTCGTTCTGCTCCATGTCCTCCGCCCTCATCAGCCCTGCATCCGTCCACGTCACGCCGTCCTCCTCGCCGCCCGCCCCTCCCAGCGACTCGTCTGCTGCAGGCCAGCCCCCGTAAGTGAGCTCGCCAGGGAAGAGAGGCGGCAGGGAGGCACCCAGGCCGGCAGGCATGGAGTCGGGCTGACCCACAGGGAGTGCAGCAGCAGCAGCAGGTGCTGCGATGACGGATGGCGAAGCAGCAGCCGCCATCGGCATCGCATATGGAGCAGCGTCAACAGCAGGAGGAGCAGCGGCAGGAGGTTGAGAGCCCAAGGGCGGGTGCGGGAGAGGCGTTGGCTGCGGGGTTGTGTGTGCCATGGAGCAGTCCGGTTCGTTGGGGCTCTCCAACACTGCCTGTCGCTCCTCGTCTGCCTTTACCATCGCTGCGTTCGCTGCCTGCAGCGGTTCCTCGTGCTGCTGCTTCTGAGGAGCCTCCTCCTCCTGCTGTTGCTGCTGCTGCTGGCGCTCCTGGCGCTGCTGAACCGGCTGCTCCTCCAGTTGCTGCGGGGGCGGTGGATGCTCCTCGTGCTCCACCTCGCCTTGGTGCTGTTGATTCTGCTGCTGCTCATGCTCAGGCTTGAGCTCAAGCAAAGATTGCTCTTGTGCATTCGATGGCTGCTGAGGCACTGGAAGGTGCTGCGGCTGGTGCACCTGCAGCTGATCCTCCGTCTTGATGCTCTCCTCTGTTCTGCGTGCATGCTGCTGCGCCGCCCCCGTGTACGCAGTGCCGCCACCAGCACCGGCAGCAGCATCAACAACAGCATTGGCAGCGTCAGCAGCAAACGCAGAAGGCGGACCCGCGTTTGAGACAGGAGGCACGGAGCTCTCACACACGGATTCACACTTGGGCAGGTTCGCGGCAGCAGCATCAGGGGCAGCATCCGCGTCGCCCTCCGGAACAGGAGGCAGGGGGCGGCGCTGCAGCGCAGCGAGGCCAGGCCCAACAGAGAACCCACCACCTGAGCACTTCTGATGCGACGCCTGCTGCAGCGGCACGCTCCTGCTCACCAGGCTAGGGCTTGCCGCCAGCGTTCCTCCAGCCGCCTTCGCCTGCTCCTCCGCCTCTTCCCGGCTGTCCCTCTCATCCGCACTCGCTCCCTTGCTCATTGAAACCGATGCCGGGACGGAGGTCTTAGCCATGCGCTGCTCGTTTCCCGCTGCGCACACTCCGCTGCCCGCCTGGCTACCTGCTGCCGAGGCATCCATGGGCGCAACGCCGCCCGTCACGCTGCTTGCACGTGGAGCAGGGGAGCTGCTTGTCGCTGCTGCCACACGCTCTTGCTGCTGCACGGGCTGAGTTTGCTGCTGCTGCTGCCTGCTGTGCTGCTGCTGCTGCTGTTGCTTCTGCTGCGGCTGCTGCTTGCTAGCATGATGGTGCGCCAGATTCGAAAGCCGGTCCACCCAAGCCATGCCTGCCTGCCGCATAGCTGGCGCTGCTGCGTTCACACTACCCGCCCTCGTTCCGCCCACGTTCGCCCCAGCCCCCATCTGGCTGCCCACGCCAGCGCCCCCCGCGCCAACGGCGGGAGAACCCCCGAGCGGGGGCAGCGCGTGGATGGGAAGCGCGGGCGGCGGAAGCTGCGCGACGGCAGGGGACTGGCAGAGCTGACGGATTCCGGCGATGTGAGACGGCTTGCTGGCAAGGGAAGGCGAGAGGAACGGCGAGCCCATCATGGGACCTCCCCCGCTGCTGCCGGTGCCGAGGTTACCACCAGCACCGTTCACGGCCGTTACAGTAGGAGTTAAGGCAGCAGGAGCGCCGTTCGCAGCAAGCACACGCGGCGCGCTGAGGCTCCGCGGCATTGACGCCCGCGCGCGCGCAATAGCGGCGGCAGTGGCGGAGGGGCAGGGGAGAACAGGCACCCTGCTGGTGGTCATGCTCTGGGAGCGGGAGAGAGCGGAGGGGGAGGATGAGGGGAACGAGCCAGGCGGACCCATGCTCATCCCCGCGCCCATGCCCATTACTCCGCTCGCGTGCGCGCCCATGGATCCCAGTTGCGGAGGGTGTGCCATAAGGTTGGGGAGCGCGCCGGGCGCGACGTTGAGACCCATGAGCCCGAGGATCTTTGCGCCTCTCTGCCCCACCGGCGGAATGCCGCTCGGGTAAAGCGTGGGGGCGGCGGGGAGAATCTTCCGCGGAGCGATGGGCACGAGCGCGGGCTTCCCGGAGAGGCTGGGGGAAGACACCGGCGCAGGGCTGGAGGGGACGGAGGGCGCTTGCGCGGGTTGCAGGCTGGGAGTGTGCGGGGTCTGCTGCGGGAAAACGAGCGGGGAAGGGCAAGGCGGGCATGCCCTGGCTGCTGCAGGCGACGGCGCGACGGACGGCGCGGACTGCGGAGCGCCATAGTTAGGATTCTGCAGTTGCGGTGTGTTAGATGGGCACGGGTGCTGCCGGATCTCGTGCGGAGAAGACGGCGGGCCGTGCGCTTGAGGGTGCGCGTGAGGGAGGGTCTGAGGGCGGTTGAAGGGGCTGAGCATCTGCGGAGTGCGCGCGCTGTGCTGCTGCGGCGGCTGACCTTGCGATTGGTGATCCAGGGTGGGTTGCGAGTAGCTCCTGCTAAGACGCGCGGCGGATGCGGGAGACATGCTCTGCTGCTGCTGCTGCTGCTGCTGCTGCTGCTGCTGCTGCTGCTGCTGCTGCTGCTGCTGCTGCTGTTGCGGCGGTGGCGGCTGATGGTGCGGTGCTCCCGGGCTGTTTCTGAATCCCACAGCAGCAGCAGCAGCAGCAGCGGCATCACAGCGGCCGGAGCGGGGAGATCGTTGAGTCGCTCTCGAATCCTGGAAGACGGAGCGACAGAGAGAGAAAGAGAGAGAGAAAAAAAGGACAACGGGATGAGGACTCGTTACACGACATGACGAGCCATAACGGCGACAAGGGAGGCATGGGCGTTGGAAGCACCAATGCTTTCACTCTCCCCTCCGCCTGCGACGCACCATGTGGTGCGGCATCAACCGCGGACTCTTCGACGGAGTCCACCCGTCGCCGCCACTGCCACCGATGCCCTCCCCCGCGCCCGCGGATCCTCCGCTCGCGAACGGCCGCGCGGACGCATGCGCGCCCATGACGGGGCTGTTGCAGTTGCTGAGGCGATGCGGCGACGGGCACCCGGCGGTCATGCGGAGCGCGCCGCACGGGGCGCCCGGCGACCAGTCCTGCACCTCGTGCCGCTTGCGCTTGTGGCTCGGCCTGCGGTCATGACACAGGAGCGGGAGACGCGGGGAAGCAGGAGAGGAGAGAGACAAAGGGCGGAATGGTAAGCTTTTCTTTTGCATCGTCCAGGACAGATCGTGAGATGGGGAAGAAAGGGAGCCAGTGCAGCACCCGAAAGGGCTGGAATCCTCCTCTGAAAGCACTACTCTTCCGATCCTTCATTTTAAGTACAAAACACAATACGCCTTCTCCGGCTTACCAGGACGGCGACCGGCACAGATTTTCCTGCTCCGGATGGTACATGCCGACTTTCATGCCGCCATACGTGCGATCATCCGCGCCTGAAGCAGCCTGCCGCAGATTCGTGACGCCTGGAGCCCCTCTGCCGGCCTGCGGCGTTCGGCTCGCGGGATGCAGCGACGGCGTGACGACAGGGCTCGCGGACGCGAAGGGCGGAAGCGGAGGCGTGTGCGGAGACATGGGGGAGAGGAAGAGCGGTTTCAGGGCGGGTGACATTGGGGGAGAGGACGACGGGATGTTGCTTTGCGCATCCCGCGCCTGAAGCACCTTCTGGCAAAGGCTCTGGTGAAGGGACGGGGGGAGAGGGGGTACGGCTGCGGCGGAGCTTTGCACCGCCGCGGGGTTTGTTGGCGCGGGTGGCCTGGGAATGCGGTCCGTGAGGGAGAGAGGTGGAAAGGGTTGCGTTTGCATGGGAGAGGAGAGCCGTGGCTTGGGCGGCTTTGCTTCTTCTAATGGATCGCAGGAGGCGGAGGAGGGGTGCACGCACCCCATAGGGGTAGATGGACCCACCATGGCTGCCATTCCGGAACGACGAATCTTTTTCTTTTCAGATTAAAACCAGACTCAAGACGGTGAGAGAGATGGTATTTTTCTTCATGTCTCGTTGCCGAAGAAGAGAAAACCGCCGGTTTGGTTAGTTCAACGACTAACGCGAGCGGTAAAAAAACGGTCGATGGAGAAGGTTGATCGGAATCTGGGAGTTGTATATGGCGGATGCAAACCCCTTCGGTTGAGATTCAGACGGTTTGGAAGCCAGGGTGGGAGGGAGGTTGCAGCAGCAGTACGGGATGGAATGAGGAGGATGAGATGGCGTTCACAGCGTTGGAGACTGCTCGTGTTTTATTGCAGTACCGCTGTCGGTCGTGGGGAGGAGATCGCTTTGCTGCGCTGGTGCCCGCCGGACTGTTATACGCATGTGGTCCGGCTCCCTGACAAGTGCGCCCCGTCCAGGACGACAGGATTTGCGCAAGGGGGGTGTGTGGGGGGGCAGAGGGAAGCAGGAAGAGCCTTGAGGTGGGATGAGGGGGAAATCCGTCAACGCAGGGGGAGGGAGGGGTGCGGGGGAGTTGAAGGTCCAACACACGTGGGATGGTCCGCGCCATAGTGGGAGGGGGAGGGGGAGGGTGGAGGGGACTGTGTGTGCTGATCACGGGCGGTTGGCAATGAAAAAACGGAAGGGATCTTTTTTTCTGGAGGTTTTTTGAGGAAAATGAGAAGTCTGGCTGTTCGGGTGGTCTTGGGCAACATCGGTTGGCGGGGTGAATGGGATGCTTGTGTCCGGGGTCCGGGGTCCGCTCCGGGGTCCGGGGAGGGGGAGGACAAATTCTGCCTTGAAAATGCTTTCCAATTGCGCCGATGTTTCGAAGAATGCAGTTCCTGGGGTTTGGCTGGGGCAAACGACCGCCAGCCCAACTTTGACCATCCGTACTCCACTGTCTCACCATGGCTGGCCGATGGCAGGCTAGTTCAGAATCGACCCAATAGGTTGCTCGACTCTGCCGGAGAAACTGGCGCGAAAACGAAGTTTGAAAAAGGCTCGGGAGGCAATGAGTTGCCAAATGGCATGGGGGAAGAGATAAGGCTCGAACGATTGGCGGAAAGTTGCAAGGTTGTTCCGCTGTCTGCATCTAATTCGCCGGCGCGACCATGGAAAGCGCGGGAACCACCTGCTTTGAATCGTCTGGTCATAAGTTGACCAGTGAACATCCACCTGCAAAACTTCAACACCTCCCTAACCCCCCCCCACCCCACCCCACCCAGCCCACACAAAAGAGATTGCCACAGAAACTTGTCAGGCACAAAGCCATCAGGCTTTGGCGAGATTCCAATGCTGCAGATCTTGCCAGATTCATGTCCCTCCAATGAGTTCAGCGTTCTAACCTCTGCGCAGTTTACCACATGAATATATGACGCTAGTGTTGATCATATAGGAATAAAACATCGCCCTACGTAAAACAAGCAGTATATACGCTTGTTTATAGAAAAAACTTAGTTTTATCCGATTAGAATGTCTTGGATGAGTTATTTTATTATCATGTGAAGGGTCGCCACCGAATTGGAATAGGAGAGTCTGTTGACACATATCTCATGTATGACTCCGTACATCGAATGCCTCGTTGCGGGTTCCGCGGATCACAATCTCATCCTCCCTATGAGCACGGATACTCAACCCACACCATTATTGATGCGACATTATTGTTGGATTCCACATGTCTTGGCAGGAGGCAAATCCCCTTCGCGCTTCGCCAAACGATGAATGTGGCGGCGCGAGTTCCGCATTCTTCGATGACTTGATTGTGACTGACTCCGTTATTGCAGCTACAAAAGCTCCGTTGCTTTCTTGCGGATCAGAACAACCACCCAACATTTCACCTCTCTTTCTTCGATCAGCACCAGTACACCACACCACACCAACAATCCTTTTCAACACCAGCTGAAGCACTGAGAGACGGCACTTTCACTATAGTACTATTTCCCGCTGCATTACCGCGTGGCTTGCTCTGAACTTGCTTCAATCACCATGGCCACGACTCGCTTCCTTCTTTTCGTCTCCGCTCTCGCCCTCTCCCTCGCGTGTAAGCTGACATGTGCTACCACGCAACTCATATGCGAGATGAGCCATGCATTTTCTACGCCCACATCCCCATGATCGTGCTTCGACATATTCCCGCCACGCGTCTGACTGCTTCGTGTGTGCAGTGGGTGCGTCTCCCGCGTCAGCAGCGCCAAAGCCGCCGTTGAAAGACGGCGCGACGTGCTTCTGGAGCAAGCAGTACATGCCAGCACAGCCCAGCTGCAAGCAACCCTTCCAGTGCGTCGCCTCCATCTGCCCATCAATCCCATCTGCCCCATCAATCCCATCTGCCCCATCAATCCCATCTGCCCCATCAATCCCATCTGCCCCATCAATCCCATCTGCCCCATCAATCCCATCTGCCCCATCAATCCCATCTGCCCCATCAATCCCATCTGCCCCATCAATCCCATCTGCCCCATCAATCCCATCTGCCCCATCAATCCCATCTGCCCCATCAATCCCATCTGCCCCATCAATCCCATCTGCCCCATCAATCCCATCTGCCCCATCAATCCCATCTGCCCCATCAAACCTTGTCGCGTTCGAGTAGTTAGTCGTACCTCCCGGTACTGAGGGTTCGCCTTTTCCCGAGAAGCATTTGAGCGACATTGCTTTGTCTCGTCGCGTCTTTCCCCGGGGCTCCATTTTCAATCCTCGCTCTCTGTCTGCATCGTGCCGTGCTGCTCCGTGCTCCTGCGCAGGTGCGTGGTGAAGCAGGTGCTTCCCGCGTCGCACGATAAGCTCTTCCAAGGCGTGTGCGTCGACTCCTATAACTGTAAGACCCTCTGTTGCTCTCACTCACTCACTCACTCACTCACTCACTCTCGTACACACACTGCCTCCCGATGGGCTACCTGCACTCGATAGTTGTGCTCTAGCTTGCCCCATCAGTACACTCAGTGGAACGCACTCGCCTGCCATATATACTCACCATTCTTCCCCGTTATGACACCACGCTGTCCGCAACAAGATTCCATAGGAAAATACCGCCATATCCACGACGCCAAATGACCGTTAAACTTACCCGTTCCCGTTTCCCTGCGCGCCCGCTATCTCCGCCACCAGCCAACGACTACTGCATCTATCAGTCCGTGTCGTACGCCGTGGGCACCACCAGCATCACCGCCAGCTATGCCTGCCCCAACTGCACCTGCTCGCGCCTCTCCGGCGCTGCCGGCGCGTCGTGCGAGTGCGAGCCGGGGCCGCGGTGCCGCGTGGACGTTGCGGGGAAGCCGGTGGGCTCCGTGTGCTCCGGGCGCCAGAGCCTGTGAGTAGTGGGGGACCCGGCCGGGGGAGGAGAGATTGTCGGAGCGAGAAGGCGGAGGCGGGGATACAGGGCTAGTGCCGCGTGGAAATGCAGCAGGAACATATGGAGATAGTATCCGATGAGCGCGTATGAAAGCGCCATAAATGCCCGTTGCAGTGATTCGCACCCTGTCAGTAACCAATCCCTTACCTTGTGTGTTTCTGTGTGTTTGGGTGTGCGTGTGTGTGCGAGGTGTGAATGCAGGTGTGTGGTCAACCAGGTCAAGAAGGTGAATGTGGGCACCTGCACGCACCCCGCAAGTACGCCCACCTCCCCTCAACCTCGCCAGTCACCACACTTGATCATTTGCAGCAGTAATGCATCATTCCACCAACACATCCCCACCTTCTCCACCTTACCCTGCCACCCTACAGCTCTACCAATCCCAACACCCGTATCATCCGCTCCCCCACTCCAACCCAACCAACCCCTCCTGCTTCCCCCTCCCCCTCCCCGTGCGCCAGTGTCCGCGGGGCAGTGCGTCTCCGCAGGGCCCGGGTGGGGCCCCATTTTCTACAGCAGCGGAGTGGCATCGGGGGCGATCAGGGCGGGCAACATGTGCCAGCGCTGTGCGTGCACCAAGGGCCAGTTCTCTAACTGCCGCCGCATCAAGGGATGCAAGAGTGAGCTCCCTCCCCCTCTTCCCCCCCCTCCGCAGGGCTATACTTGCCAAATGATCCTTCCATACGTCCCCTCGTGTCAACGCCTAGCGCCCATCCTTCCCATGTGCTCCTTTTGGTTTCCATCCCATCGTAGCAACCTCCACTCCCAGTTCCCAGTACCTCATCGCGTCTCCTTTTCCTTACCCCTTATCCTTGTCTCTGTCTTCTTTGCTCTATCCCACCCCTGGCCCCCCACAACACCGGCATGCCATGGTACGGTGGGGCATGGCAGTGTGCGTGCCCAAGAAGGGGGCAGGCGAGGTAACAGCGCAGTGCGTGGCGTGCTGCAAAGGGGCACAGGGCGACGCTAATGTCAAGGCGTGCCTGGCAGCGTGCGGGAGGGTCACGCTTTGACACAGCAATCATAGACACAGCAGCAGTAATGCTAGAGACTCACAGCCAATCCAATCCAACCCAGCCCAAGTTAGTTAGCAGACGCACACCGGTACATGGGACGACGGTTCAGCAGCATACATGGAGGCGCGCACAGCAGCAGAACATCTACCTCAGATGCATAAGTGCCCCGCCCCGCCCAGCTAGCATTGTGTGGAATAAAGCTGCTGAATCAGGTTGCCTTGCCTTGCCATCCTTGGCTACCGTATTGTTGCTTCTTTTGATAGTGAAGTGAAGGCAGCTTCCGTTTTCGCACCCTACTATGATGAATGATGGTTTTGGCAGTGTAGCTCAAATGCACTGATGCAAATGCAAGTGGCAGTCAGTCAGTCCTCGTGCAGGGATGGGGTAAGTACCACCACCAGACTCTCTTCAGGATGCGTGTGCAGCTCCATTTTATGCTTAGGGTAAGACTTTCCAGCTTACCGATAAATGTGCCCGATCATACCGTAGTTCAGCCTGCCCCACAGCCAATAAGAGGCCTGAATATGGTACCTGCGTTGTAGGCCCTCCTTAATTACAGTGAACTGTTACAACAGAGTTACAAACAACCCTCTAGAGCACTGACCTCATCTGCTACCTCCATAAATGCGGTACTAGGTAGGTACATCATTTCAGCTGTAGAAAACACGAGCACAAGAGCACAAGCAAAACCTACCACCCCTAAGTGATTTCGAGCTTTCCCTGACAGTACCGTACAAGCACACCTAATGCTTCTGTCGCTACGTGATCACACTCGAATCTCAATGGACTGGACTGAACTGGAGCAGACTGCACAAGAGCTGGTGTGGGTGCTCTTGTAAGCACACTAGGACGCTCCTGGCTGTGCCCCTGCAGGGTTGAGTGGGAGAGAGGGCAGGATTCATGGCGGCACCAGGGAGGTTAGAGCGAGGTGAAGGACATGGGTGTGAGAGTATGAGTTGAGTGTGAGTGCCGTGGCGAGGCGAGGCCGGGCAGGTAGTGCTTGGAGAGAGAGTGACGGAACGGCGGAAGGAGAGGAACAGAAGGGAGGGCGTGGGCATGGGCATGGGCATGGGCATGGGCATGGGCATGGGCATGGGCATGGGCATGGGCATGGGCATGGGCATGGGCATGGGAACGGGCATGGGCGTGGGCATGGGCGTGGGTGTGGGCGTGGGTGTGGGCGTGGGTGTGGTGGAAGGGCGGCACATCACACCTGAGGCAGCGACAGAGCGCCAAATGGAAGCCGCACTGCGCTCCATCACCTCCCTTGCCTCGTCCGCAGTCTGTAATATTATGATGCCAGGTTGGGGGACACGGGTATGGGGAATGGGACAATTCGTGAAATTGAGCATGAGGGGCGTGTGGGAGGAGACAGCCAGGGGAGGCATGGCATCAAGGTTGAGAAGGACAGATAAGTCAAGGCCCCACATCCCCACCGCCCCATTCCATTCCACCTCCTCGTACCGACGCCCCCCCCATCCCCATGCCCCCCATCCCCCCATGCCCCCCATCCCCATGCCCCCCATCCCCATGCCCCGCATCCCCAGGGAACACACCTCGCACTGCTCCATGAGCTGGGAGCGCTTGGGCATGGCCCACCCCCACAGCCTCGTCGCCACGTTCACTGCCCGGGACATCTGCCGTGGGTCCAACACCCCTGCTCGCACAGCAACAAGTGGGTGCGGTGCGGTGTGCAGAGGGATGGGGATAAGAGGAGTGCGGGGCGAGGTTAGTACATGAGAATCACCAACAAGCACTTAGAACCCCTCACTGACTCCTGTCCACACAACACCACCGCTCACTGACTCCCGTCACTGACTTAGATTGCCACACCAATCACACTAAACTCAGCCTCATTGCCCCCCCCACACCAACCAACTCCCCACCTTCCCCACTCCCCACCTCCCCTGTCCCTCCCTCCTTCCCTCCCTCCCTCCCTCCCTCCCTCCCTCCCTCCCTCCCCCACTGCAACCGTCCGCCCGTCCCTCCCTCTCCCTCTCCTCACCCCACTCTCCCCGTCCCCCTACTTCCCTCCCCTCTTCCATCCCCTCCCCCACGCACATCCATCAGTGAGGTGACTTTTGAGTCGACTCAAAAGTCACCTCCCCTCTTCCATCCCCTCCCCCACGCACATCCATCAGTGAGGTGACTTTTGAGTCGACTCAAAAGTCACCTCCCCTCTTCCATCCCCTCCCCCACGCACATCCATCAGTGAGGTGACTTTTGAGTCGACTCAAAAGTCACCTCCCCTCTTCCATCCCCTCCCCCACGCACATCCATCAGTGAGGTGACTTTTGAGTCGACTCAAAAGTCACCTCCCCTCTTCCATCCCCTCCCCCACGCACATCCATCAGTGAGGTGACTTTTGAGTCGACTCAAAAGTCACCTCCCCTCTTCCATCCCCTCCCCCACGCACATCCATCAGTGAGGTGACTTTTGAGTCGACTCAAAAGTCACCTCCCCTCTTCCATCCCCTCCCCCACGCACATCCATCAGTGAGGTGACTTTTGGGTCGACTCAAAAGTCACCTCCCCTCTTCCATCCCCTCCCCCACGCACATCCATCAGTGAGGTGACTTTTGAGTCGACTCAAAAGTCACCTCCCCTCTTCCATCCCCTCCCCCACGCACATCCATCAGTGAGGTGACTTTTGAGTCGACTCAAAAGTCACCTCCCCTCTTCCATCCCCTCCCCCACGCACATCCATCAGTGAGGTGACTTTTGAGTCGACTCAAAAGTCACCTCCCCTCTTCCATCCCCTCCCCCACGCACATCCATCAGTGAGGTGACTTTTGAGTCGACTCAAAAGTCACCTCCCCTCTTCCATCCCCTCCCCCACGCACATCCATCAGTGAGGTGACTTTTGAGTCGACTCAAAAGTCACCTCCCCTCTTCCATCCCCTCCCCCACGCACATCCATCAGTGAGGTGACTTTTGAGTCGACTCAAAAGTCACCTCCCCTCTTCCATCCCCTCCCCCACGCACATCCATCAGTGAGGTGACTTTTGAGTCGACTCAAAAGTCACCTCCCCTCTTCCATCCCCTCCCCCACGCACATCCATCAGTGAGGTGACTTTTGAGTCGACTCAAAAGTCACCTCCCCTCTTCCATCCCCTCCCCCACGCACATCCATCAGTGAGGTGACTTTTGAGTCGACTCAAAAGTCACCTCCCCTCTTCCATCCCCTCCCCCACGCACATCCATCAGTGAGGTGACTTTTGAGTCGACTCAAAAGTCACCTCCCCTCTTCCATCCCCTCCCCCACGCACATCCATCAGTGAGGTGACTTTTGAGTCGACTCAAAAGTCACCTCCCCTCTTCCATCCCCTCCCCCACGCACATCCATCAGTGAGGTGACTTTTGAGTCGACTCAAAAGTCACCTCCCCTCTTCCATCCCCTCCCCCACGCACATCCATCAGTGAGGTGACTTTTGAGTCGACTCAAAAGTCACCTCCCCTCTTCCATCCCCTCCCCCACGCACATCCATCAGTGAGCACGAGCAGGTGGGCCACAAACGACGTGGTGTTGGCAAGCGGCCACATGCGGCTGTCCACAGGGGACGACATGGCAGCCAGGCGTGCAGCCATGGCGAGAGTGAGGTCCGCCTTCTCCTCCTCCAGGGGGTAGATCACTTCTAGCAGCGCTGCTGCCGGGTCCTTGTCTGGTAGGCCCACCAGGATGCCGCGCAACCCCCAGTCGAATACTTCTAGCTGCTGCGCGTCCTGGCACGTGCCGTCCTCCTCTATGCTCTGTTGTGTGGGGGGGGGTGGGGGAGGGTGGGGGAAGGGAGGATGGGAGGACCGGGGGACGAGAGAACGGGAGGAGGGGAGGAGGGGAGGAGGGGAGGAGGGGAGGGGAGGAGGGGAGAAGGAAAAGGAGAAGGGTGCTTGTGAGACGCTTGCTGCGAATTTACACCCAGTCCACTAGGATGCCTTGCAGCCCTCAGTCGAATAGCTCCAGCTGCTGCGTGTCCTGGCACGTGCCGTCCTCCTCTATGCTCTGCAAGGGGACGGACGGACAGGGGGAGGGTGGGGAAGGGAGGATGGGAGGATGGGAGGATGGGAGGATGGCAGGACGGGAGGACGGGGCGAGGGGAGGAGGGGAGAAGGGGGGGTGGAGGGAGGGAGACGGAGACACAAAGGGGGATGGTGCTTGTGAGGGGCGTGCTGCGGAATTATACTCAGGCTGCATGCTTGCACGGTCCACCCTACCCCACCCCACCCCACCCCTCCCATTCGCCGCACCTCATAGACGTGCATGATGGATTTGACTTGCATGGACTCCAGCAGAACAGGCAGGTTATGCTCCGTCTCCACCGTCTTGCCTATCCTCAGCCACACCGCCCACCCCACCGTCACCTCCGGCTGCGCCATCTGCTCCACTATCTCCACCGCCCTGTCCTGTGCCGCTTCCAGCGACTTCTCCCCCCCCGCTAGCCCTCCCGCCACCCCCCCTGCCGCTGTGAGTCCCAGCCAGCGGTTGAGTGTCACGAGCGCACAGAGTTCCCGCTCGCGCCAGTCTCCCGCGCCCGCGGCTGCCATGCCTCCGATGCCTGCGCCGGCGCCCAGGCCCCCGCCGCGCATGTTCATACGGAGGAAGTTGAGAGTCACCTCGTACGCCCACGGATGGTGCTGCTTCAGCTCTCCGTTCCGCAGCATCGCATCCGCAAACTCTGCAATGTATGACGATGCGCGCGCGCCCGCCGCTGCGCCCGTGGCCTCCACGTTCGCGATGTGCGCGTTCTTAACCGCGGTTGCTAGCCGGGCGAAGCGTGCGTTGATGGACTCCGCCCCACTGCCCAGGAACACCATGCGGATCACATGGTCAAACCCGTCCGTGGTGAGCCTTCCTGATGCCACAGCCCGTAGGCACACGTGGAAAGCAGCTTCCTCCAACCCAATATGCTCATAGTGCAGCGCGAGGGAGATCAGATCCCCCGGCTGCAGGAAATGCAGCTCCCGCATCTCAGCCGCTAGGTTCATAGCCAGCAGGCCAGGACCCAGCCCCAGGGAATCATACAGCCGGTCGATCTCCTCACACCGCTCCACGAGATCGCTGTGCTTTGCACGGGCTATTCCCTCCGCTAGAGCCACCTCCGCCAGGCTGGACAGACGGATGGGGCACCAGGGTTTCCTCCCCGCCGATCGCACCGACAGCAGCGCTCCATCTGCACCTGAGAGAGCTCCGCCTCCCGCTCCTCCTCCCCCGGCTGCTGCTGCCGCTGCTGCTGCCGACATGGCTCTCCGGCTGGCGGCCGCTGCGCCTCCGGATTTCTCGTACTGGGACGAGAGAATGGCCTTCAGGCATGCCATTACGAACGCTCGGCATGCAGGGAGGTTGGCCGGGGCACGCACCAACGCCATGCCCCCCATCCCTGCCATTCCCATGGGCCCCACAGCGATCGGCGGCCCTCCTGACAGGTCCGAGACAGGTGGCGAGCTCACATTGGACGGCGGGGCGGGCGGCGGAGTGGGTTCAGGAGGCGGCGGGGCAGGGTGGGAGGCAGCAGAGGAGGAACCGATGCCAAAGAAAGGAGTGGTTGGGCGGGTGAAATTCGCTGTGAAGGCAAGCAACCCGCCCCCAGACTTCTTCTGTGGCGGTGCTGGTGCCGCCGCCGCTGCCGCCGCTCCTCCTCTTCCTCCCGCTGCTGCTGCCGAAGCCTCCTGCGCTGCTGCTCCCGCCTGCTGCTGTGCCGGCGCCGCCGATGCTGCCGCGGCGCCAAAAGCAGACCCCAGCCCACTAAACGACGTGGGAATAGGCCCGCTCTGCTCCACCAATCCCCCACCGCCCATCGTGAAACTCTCGGAGCGCCGCCGCGACCCAGCAGGCGACGACGGCATACTCCCCTCGTTGCCAATCCCCGCCAGGTGATGCCGAGCCGACGGCCCCAGCGCCCCTCCTCCTCCTCTCACCGACCCGTGAACCCCTGAAGCCGCAGCCGTGGCGGCTGCCACAGCAGCAGCGTCGCGGTGCGGCGAGATGGTAATCCCGAGGGAGAGGAGTTCAAACTGGGCCATGCGGTCCAGTAGGCGCAGCAGGCACATGCACGCAGTGGATGGCTGCCAGCTGCTGATCGCCGCTGCCAGCCCCGCCACCCGGAGAATATCGTCGTGCTGGCACGTGGTTGGCAGCGCTTGTCCCGTTCCGAGAGCCTCGGCGACGAGGCGAGACTGGAGGCTACCTTCCGGGCCCCAGCGCTTTGGCCCGTATGTATGCACGTCCCCTCCTGCGCCCGACAACCCGGCAGACACGCTACTCGGTCGCCTCCCACTGCCATACGCCCCTCCTCCTCCTCCACCTCCCGTGCTCCCCGCATAACCTCCCCCTCCCAGGTCACTGTGCGCGTATCTGCCTCTGCCGTCCCCCCCCTCATCTCTATCCCCGCGCCAGGGCGAGCTAGAGGAGCTGTTGGGAAAGTCCCTCCAGGGGGAACTAGTCGCAGAGTCATTGAATCGCACAGGAGACGTGCCCCCGAGACTCCCACCACCAGCACCACCACCGGCGCCACCACCAGCACCACCGCCGCCACCCGCTGCTGCTGGGTCGTCCTCGTTGTCGTCCTCCTCCTCGCCCTGCCACTTGGGCCGGTTCTCCCCCCACTGCTCCCAGTACTTGAGCCATACGGATAGCCCTGCCACAAACGCCTCCCCCACGTGCACCTCGTTCAACCGCTCGCTACTCTCCGCCACCCCCCGGAACTTCCGCTTCACCCATTCAAACTCCCTCAGCGCCCCGGCCACGGACCAGTTGCGGTTTGTCCGCCCCACCGGCCGCAGAACCCTCACTCCCGGCCCTCCCTCCGGCCACGCGCCCCCGCCTGCTCCACCGGCCACCGCCGTCGTCGCACCTCTGCTGCTCCCAAACGCAGTGCTGCTAGCAGCGCTGGGGAAGGCGAGATTATCATCATCATCCAGATGATCCCCCGTGCTGGTGAGACTCATGATATCGTCGTCATCTTGCACTGCCAGGCGAGGCAGCATGGTTTCTAGATACTGCATGAACAGCCACGACCAGTGGTCGCGGCACTGCTGCGCGCGCACCCTCGCCGCCCCGATCGGCCCAAACTCGTAGTACACCTGCCGGGCGGCGGGCGTCACGCCGCCGCCCTGCATCTGCGCGATTTCCGGGCGGCGTAGCGTGGACAGCGAGCGAACATACATCAACTCCGGTGGCCGCTCCTCCTCTTCCTCCTCCCCGCCTCTCTCACCCAACCCATCGTCCTCCTCATCATACTCATCAATAAAATCCATATCATCATACTCCTCATCCTCATACTCGTCCTCGTCGTCCCCATGATCCCTGTACCTCCCTCTGCGCCCCGTTATCCTCCTCCTAGGCACCATAGGTCCCACCTCGTCCCCCTCCTCCTCCAAAAAGTCCTCTTCCTCCTCCTCACCCAACTCCTCATCATCCAAATCCGCATCGTCCTCTGTCCAGTCCCCTTCCTCCTCCATCTCATGCAACCCCTCCTCATCCTCATACTCGTCCTCAAACTCCCCTTCCTCCTCATCCCCATGCTCCCCCACCTCCCCTCCTCGCACCCCCACAGGTCTCCGCACCCCTCCCGGGGGTCTAGGCGGCCTGCCCCTGCCCACTCCCCTGCCTCTCCCACCCGCTCCTCCCACAGTCCCACCCACCCGCCTTCTCCCCACCACCCCACCTGCCGCCGCTGCTCCCGCTGCTGCTGCGCCCCTACCCGCGCCTGCACCCACACCCCCTTCTAGCTCCTCCCCCTCCCCCACCTCTTCCTCATCATACTCCTCATCTTCATACTCCCCCTCCTCGTATTCCCCCTCCTCATACTCTCCCTCCTCATCATACTCATATTCCCCCTCCTCATCGTATTCCTCATCATACTCTTCATCATACTCTCCCTCATACTCCTCATATTCCTCCTCATACTCCCCTTCCTCATCAGTATATTCCTCATCAGTGTAAACCTCCTCGTCCCCCTCCTCATACTCCCCCTCCTCATCCTCATACTCATCATCAAACTCCCCTTCCTCCTCCTCCAATCCATCCACCTCCCCATCGCTCACGCCCGGCCCGGTGCTCCTTCTAGCGGGCCCGCGAATGCCCTCTTGCCGCATCAGCAGCACCTCTGGTTCCATCTCCATCCCTGCCGCCTCCCCTGCTGCCTCCCCTGCAGTCTCCCCTGCCCCTTCCCCTGCTGCCTCCCCTGCTGTCTCCCCTGCCCCTTCCCCTGCCGCCTCCCCTGCTCCCTCCACACCTCCCTCCACACCTCCCTCTTCCCCTGCACCCCCCACTCCTTCCTCCTTTCCATCCCCCTGCCCCCCCTCCTCCCCTTGCGTCCGCCTTTCTTCCCGCGTGCCCTTCTTCCCTTCCTCTCTCCATTCCCCGCCTTCAACCTCCTCGTCCTCATTCCCTACCTCCAACACTCCTCCCTCATCCTCCTCATCCTCTCCTGCGTGCACCCGCTCACCCTTCACCCCAAACCTGCCCCGTCCCTTCTTCCGCTTCCCTCCCCCAACCTCCACACCTCCCTTCTCCTCCACCACCATTCCCTCTCCCTCCTCCCATTCTCCCTCCACTCCCTCCTCTCCGTGCCTCCCTCTAAAACCACCCTCAGCCCCACCAACTACTCCCTCTTCCTCTTCCTCCTCCTCCTCCTCCTCCTCCTCCTCCTCCTCCTCCTCCTCCTCCTCCTCCCATTCCGCTCCTTCCCAATCACCCCTCCTTGCATTCACCCCCCTGTCTCTCCCCATCCACACCGCCTCTCCACCATCCTCCACCACCTCACCCTCCCCTCCACCACTCTCAACCTCTACCTCCCGACCGCTCACTTCCCCATACAAATCTTCCTCTCCCTCCCCCACCACCACACCTGCTGCAACACCATCATATCTTTCTTCCTCATCCTCATCCTCCTCCGCCACTTCAGCCGCCTTCCCTCTCCTTCCCCTGCCCTCCACCCTCCCATCTGCTTCCCACTCCTCACCATACAGGTCCTCTTCCTCTTCCTCCTCCTCCCTCTCATGCAACACTCCGCTTCCCTCCCCATCGCCCTCACCACCACTCCCAGCATCATCATCCCCCCGCTGCGCTCTCCCTCGCCCCTTGCCGCCGCCCCGCCACCCTTCTTCTCTCCGGCACTCTTCATCCAGGAACTGAAGCAGCAGCTGCTCCTGCTCGCTCTTGCCGCCCTTGTCCTTCTCCCGCAATCCGCCTCCCCTCGCCTCCTGCTCTTGCCCCTTGCTGCCGCCTCTCCTGCCTCCCTCCTGCCTCTCCATGTCTCGCCTCCCCTCTTCCTCATGCTCTCGTTCCCATCTCTCCCCTTCCTCTCTCTCCAATCTCATCCTCTCCTCCTCTTCTTCCCTTTTCCTCCTCTCTTGCTCCTCTCTCTCCCTTTCCTTCCTCTCGTTTTCTGCTTTCTCCTTCTGTCTTATCTCTTCTTCCTCTCTCTCCCTTACCCTTCTCTCCTCCTCCTCCCTCTCTTCCTCCCTTCTCTCCTCCTCCTCCCTCTCCTTTTCCCGTCTCTCCTCCTCCTCCCTCTCCTTCTCCCTTCTCTCCTCCTCCTCCCGCTCTCTTTCCCTTCTTTCCTCCTCCCTCTCCCTTTCCCTTCTCATTTCCTCCTCTCGCTCCTTCTCAATTTGTTGCTCCTCTTGAATCCTTCTCTCTTCATCAGCCCTCTCTCGCTCCCTTCGTTCCTCCTCCTCCTTCTCCAACGCAACCCTTTCCCTCTCTCGTCTCTCCTCCTCAAGCCTTGCTGCCACTCTACTCTCCTCCTCTTTCCTTTCCTCCTCCACCCTTAGTCGCTCCCTTCTCTCCTTCTCCTTTCTCTCCTCCTCCCTTCTCTCCTCCTCCCTTCTCTCCTCCTCCCTTCTCTCCTCCTCCCTTTTCTCCTCCTCCCTTCTCACCTCCTCCCTTCTCTCCTCCTCCCTTCTCTCCTCCTCCCTTCTCTCCTCCTCCCTTCTCTCCTCCTCCCTCCTCTCCTCCTCCCTCCTCTCCACCTCCATTCTCTCCTCCTCTTCTCTCCCTTCCACCCTCACACTCTCCATCCTGTCGCGCTCTTCCACTCCTTCCCCAACCCCTCTCTCCCCTTTCTCTCCCTCCTCCCCCATCTCCACATCCCCCAAACTTACCTCACCTCCTCCTCCACTCACTCCCTCCATCGCACTCGCCTCCCCTCCATCCACCCCATCTTCCACCCCCAGCTTTCCCCCCTCGCCCACAACCATATCACCACCACTCTCGTCCGTCCCTTCCGCAGCAACAGCAGCAGCGGCAACACCTGCATCTACCTCCATCGCTGCGCCCACACCAGTCTCACCACCCGCACCTGCATCCCCCTCCCTGCTCCCACGCCCATCATCAGCTTCAGCTTCAGCAGCAGCAGGAGCAGCAGCAGCGGCGGAGGCGGCAGAGGCGGCCTCTGCAGCAGCGGCGAGCATAGCCCCGTCTGAAACTGCCCTGCCCTGCTCCACTAGCCGCACCCTCGTCCCTGTTTCCACAGACCCCATCCGCCTCATGCTTCTTCCCTCGCCCCGCCCCTCGCCCCCGCCCTCGCCCCCACCCTCCCCCTCCGCGCCTCCCCCATGCGCACCCTTCTCCCTGCGCCCCATGAGCTTCGCCATGAGCCCCACATGCCCGCCCTCCTCCTCCCCCTCCGCGTCCCGCCCCCTGAAACTAGCCAGAGGCATCAGTTTCCGCGTCTCCTTCAACCTATCCCACGGGCTCAGCACGTCTCCCTCTCTCTCCTTGCCACTGCCCGGCCCTGTCCGCCCCCACTGCCCCTTCTTGCGCGCAGCAAGCTTGTTACTCACGTCCAGCTCCCCCACTGTCACACACCGCCGCGCCTGCGCCAGCCTGCTCTGCACGATCGCCTTCCCCACTGCCGTCCGCGCCTGCATCTCTTCCGCGCCCGCGCCCCCCTCTCCGCCTCCCCCCCCGCTCCCCTGCCCACTGCTCCCCGCAGCAGCAAACGCAGCAGCCGCTTCCGCCGCCTGTTGCATGAGAGCCGCGTCACGGTCACCAGTAGGAGACACCACTGCTGCTGCTGCTGCTCCTCCTGCAGCTGCTGCGGGGGCGGGGGCGTTGCTGCTGCTGCTGCTGCCGGGACTGGCAGCGCCGCCGCTGCCACGCCACTTGCTGTGAGTCAACGCTCTCAGCACGCCCCCTCCCACTGCTGCTGCAGCACCCGCTGCGGATGAGAAGAGGCCTGCTCGCACCGACCCTGGTGACGGCTGGCTGGCAGGAGACACAATTGCAGGGGAAACGGCACCTGACGGAGCACCTGACGCGGCACCTGAGGCGGCGGCAGCTGTGGGAGAGAGGATGCTGGCGGAAGTGGGGGAGACGAGGCGGGCGGACCCAGGGGAGGGGGCATGCGGGGAGGTGGTTTGAGAGGTGGTGGCGGAGGGGGAGATGAGGCGGGCGGAGGTGGGGGAGAAGACGGCGACAGCAAGCGCGGAGGGGCGAGTGAGCCCCTTGAGTTGCAGCACCTTGCGCTCCTCCTCGTCCATGCCCGCTCCCCCCACTCTCCCCACTCTCGCCACTCCAGCCACAGGCACCACCGTTGGCAGTGGGCCTGCAGGGAGAACTGTAGCAGGGGCGGCTGCTGCTGTGGCGACCTGGGAAGCTGCTGCTGCCACCTCCTGCTGCGGCGGCGCCTTCTCCCCCGCCTCCATTTTCTCCCTGCTCTCCGCCGGCGCTGCTGCCTCGAAGCCTTCCCTCACCACCACAACACCATCCTTTCCATCGCCCTCCTCATGTCCCAGGGGGTTTACATGAGCTTCCACTGAATCAACCCCCTCCATACCTCCCTCCGTACTAACCCCAATGGCCCCCACAGTCTCACCTCCCTCTGCTTCCTGCTTCTTGTCATCGTCCTTCTCCCTCCCCTCCACTCTTTCCCTTTCACTTTCCTTCCCCCCTTCTTTCTCTCTCTTCGTCTCTCCTCCCTTCGCCCTCACATCCTCCTCCCTCCTCCCCCTCTCCGCCCTCTCCCCGTTCTCCACCGCCCGTCCGCTCTTCCCCGCGCCCCTCTCGCGCTCCTTGATCCTCTCCCATTCATCCTTGCGCACTTTCCGCACCGTCCCCCGCCCCTCCTCCTTCCCGCCCCTTCCTCCTGCTCTCTCCCTCCGCTTCCCCCCCTGCTCCTGCAACCGCTCCGCCACTCTATCAACCACAGCACCCACCTGAAACCCTTCAAACATATCCGAAACTGCGCCCTCCGCCCCGTCTCCCCCCTTGCTCCCCGCGCCCCCCCCTTCCCCATTGGACAAGGTCGGGGGAACGAATCCGGGGGAAACAGCCATGGGGGAGACGCCAGTGGGGGTGAGAGCAGTGGGCGTGCCCACAGGGGGAGTAATTGCGCCAAACTCCTCCCCCACCCTTGAAACGCTCCTCCTCCGCCTGTTCCCCCTCCCCCCAATCGGGGACCTGGCGGGTTTGCCTCTCCCCGCCCCGCCCCCTTCCTCCCCCGCCCCTCTCCCCCCCGCCTCCTCCGCCACGCGCCTCGACCGGCTTCTACTGTAGCCCCTCTCCCCTGGCGGCCGCGTGGGGGGCGGCGTTGCGTGTCTGATCTGCGCTGCTGCGCCATCACCCCCCGCAGCCCCCGCTCCACCCATCTCCCGCGGAGACGCCCCCTCCTTACCCCTCTCCCGCCGCCTCTCCCTCCTCTCTGCGTCCTCGCCCCGCCCAAACGACTTCCCCCGAAAGGGACTCACAGGGGTGCGCGCGCCCCCCGCGCCCTCCGCTGCGCCCTCTACAGCCTGAAGAATCTCCTCCATGCCTGACCGCGACCGCGTCCGCCTGCGCTCCCGCGTGCGCCTCTGCCTCTCCCCCCCCGCGGGGCTCGCGGCAGCGCCCCCGGGCGACTCCAGCGCGCCCGCCCCGCCTTCCCCGGCCTCTTTTCCCCCAGCGCGCGTGCCTCTGGCTCTGTTGCGCGGAGTGAGATTGGCGGAAACCCCTCCGCGCGAACCTGGCGTGAGCGCCGCGTCGTCTGCGCGCGGCTGCGCCATGACCAGCGGGGAGAGCGGGGGATCGGCGGATGCAAGAGCGCCCGGAGTGGCGCTCTCCGCTTCCGCGTCCCCGCTCATTGCCGCCTTCACCGCATCCTCAAGCGCGCGCGACCGCGTGCGCCCCAAACGCCGCTGACGTGGCGTGGGGACGCCCGTCGCTGCCCCTTCTCCTCCCCCTGAACCTTCCCCTAATCCTTCCAAGGCGCCCTCCCCGCCCTCCGCTACCCCCTTGCTTTTGCTCCTTACTTTCCCCTCCCCCTCCCCGCTAAACTCATCCCCCCGCCCGCTTCTCGATCTCGGCCGTCCGTTCTCCCAATCCTCCGCGCCATCCACGCGGATGCTCCGCGACCGCCGCCCCTCCGACCCCCTGCTATGCCGCGACAGCGGGCGCGCCTCCCCCGCTTCCCCTTCCTCCCCGCGGCCGGAGTGCGACCTGGGGCGGGAATCGTCCTCCCCGTGCAGCCCATGCGCGCGCTTGTGGTGCTCGTGCGCGGAATCCCCCCTGCGCGACCGTGAGCGCATCTCCCCTTCCGCGCCCGCCTCCACCGCGCGCCCGCTCTTCGACCGCGGTCTATCCGCGCCGTCCCCGCCGCGGAAACTTCCCTTCTCCCTCCGCTCCCTATCCCTATCCCTATCTCTATCCCTGTCCCTGTCCCTATCCCTCTCCTTCTCCCGGTCTCTATCCCTATCCCGCGCGCGCTCCCGTTCCCCTTTGGCGGCGTGCGGCAGCGCTGCCTGCAAAGCGAGCGAGAGCGGTCCGTCGTCCTCCTCCACCTGTACCACCATAACCTCGCCCGTCTCCAACATAATGCGGCCCGATACTGTCCTCCCCGAAGCGCCCTGATGCACCACTGTGGCTTCTAGGAGCCGCGCCGGGATGGTCTTAGTCTTAATCTCTCCGTCCTCGCCTATCTCCTCCACCTCCACCTCTATTATCGTGTCCCCCGCTCCCCCCGCGGACGCACCCGCGCCTCCCCGCCCTGACTTCCCCGCGAAATCTCCCGCGCCTCCGCTTCCGCCCCCCCGCATGCTGCACCCGGGCGCAGCCCCGCCGTCGGGGAAATCACCAGGAGCGGTTCCCGCCCCTCGTGACTGTAACGAGGACGACTCGTCCTCCGCTTTCATGCTGGACCCCTTCACTCGGATTCGATTGCGCGCCGAATCCGGTCCGCCCGGATCTTCCGGCGTCTGCGGACGGGTGTCTCCGCGCCCCGCGTGCGGGGGGGTGGGGGAGGGGAGAGGGTGCTTTTCCGCCGCCGACGCGGACGGTGGAGTGGTAGGGAAGTGCGCGGAGAGGCGCGACTCCACCTGCCGCAATCGCAGGAAGCTTATATCGAGAGACTTGTCGTCAGCAGGCGGGTTACCGGCACCCTTACTGCCCAGCCGCCCCGGCATCATCCCCGGTAGTATCGGCCCGCTAATAGCACCGCTGCTAACACCTCGTCCTTGCGCCGCCAGCGAGTCCGCGTGCCGCCCGCTGCGACTGCTACCCAATAGCGCCGCCGCCGCCGTCGCCGCCGCGTCCTGCTGCTGCTGCTTCGCGCTGCGCTTACTCCCGAGCAGGCCCCCGCCGCTAGGAGAAAGCAAGTCCCAGTCTAGGATGCCCTTCTTTTTCGGCTTGTCCCCAACCAAAGGCGACTTCACATGCGGAGGCAGCGGCGACAGCACCTCGTGCGACGCCGCGTGCGAATTGAACCCGCTGGTAACCCCGTCGCTGTCCGTGCTGTGCGTATCCGACGTAACGGACACCGCGAGAGACGACGACGGCGGAGAGCCGACGCCCTGCAGCGGCGTCAGCCCCTGGCGCAGCTGCGACCGCCGCGCCTCTGTCGTCTTGCGCCGGTCCGCGGGGAAGGGGAAGGGGCCCGAGTAAAAGTGCCTGGGGCTTGCCACCTGCGCTTCCGCCCCCCCTTTGCTGCTACTGTTGCTGGTGGCGGATGGGGCGGCACTGCTGGTGGCGGCGCTATCCTTTTCTTTCCGCAGCCCCCCGAACTTCCACATGCCTTTCTTGAACACAGACGCCACTCCCTTAATCCGCGACTCGCCCCCCGCCGCCGCCTGCGCCGGTCCGCTCCCCCGCGCATCCCCCGCGCTCCCCCCGGTGCTGCTGCTCCCCGCCAGCTTCGCGTCCCCCCCCGCGGGCACCAGCAGCGGAGGCGGCTTGCGGAACAGGCTCTGCGGGCGCGACTGAGGTGGGGGCTGTAACGAAGGCGGATGGGGTTGCATAGACGCCGGTAGATGCGTTTTCAAGGGCTCACCTTGCTGCCCCTGCTGCCCCTGCTGATTGAACTCTCCTTTCTTCTCACTGCCACCCCCCACGCGCCCGCCCGCCGTCTTGTCCGCGTCGTCGTCATGCGAGCCTACCTGCAACGGCAGCCCGCCCTTGGTGCTGTACCATGATCGAAATCCCCCGCCGCTCCCCGAGCTCCCCCCGCTCCCCGAGTCCTGCTGCTGAAACGACTTGGTTCGGCCCCACGCGTGCGCGGGAGGCGGCAGGGACGGGAGCTCGGATTGGGGCGCACCGGAGTGCGCGTGCTGAGGCGGAGGGTCCTTCCCCATAGCGGGCTGTTGTAACGACTTCCTCCGAGCCACGTCCCTGACGGGCGACGACGAGCAGGGGAGCGCACGGAATGGAGGGAATGGCGATGAGAGGGATGGACGAGAGAGATAGCAACGGGAGAAACGAGAAACCGACTGGAGCGGCGGAGGAGGAGAAGCGCAGGGGGAGGCAGTACGCGTTAGAGACGAGGGCCAGCGCCGCAACAGGCGGAGGCGGGAAGGAGCTGACGGGGAAAAGTGAGGATATGAAAAGGAGATAAATTAAGGAAGGAATACGAGGAAAGAAAGAGGGGGGACAAAATTAGGAGCCGCACATTACGGGGAGGAGCTACAGTCAAACCCTAAAATGCTCCTCGTGTTCTTCTTGACTCCATACTGCAATTGTAGCGCCATTTTCCAACCACGCGAAAACGCCTCGTTTGAAAAAAAACAAAAAAAAGTCACGGCCGCTGCATCCGCTGATCCTAGTAGTTAACCTCAGTTGGGACAAAATGGTAACGTTTTTTAGTGTCACCTGTCACGCACCTCGTCTTGCATTTCTCACGATAGTGTTTCCTGCTCTAATCCATTTAGCATCCTTGTTGAGGGAAACAGATGACACGGATGGATCGGAGAAGCCATCACGACCAGACCAGCACGAGGCTCTGACAAAGTGCGACCTTCCCTTTCCTCCATCTCCCACCAAACCTGTTGGGCGCGTCTCCTGCTCTCCGAACCACATCCACAGAAGAGAAAGGAAACTGGGACGGACAGGGGAGGGGAGGACTTCCCCAGCATTCTGCACGGCCATTATCTCCGATACTCAGATTTTGCCTGAGCGCGTTCTCAGGTGTAATCACCAACAGAAACACAGTTTCTCGATATAGAGTGAAGCTATTTCCGCTCTTGTTTATATACAGTCACTGAAAAAAGGGAATTCTAGCACTTGCAAAATTATAGCCCGTAGCAAACCTATATGATTTCCGGGAAGGATCAACCCTAAATACCGAAAGCCTCCCAATATTTCCGGGAAGGATCAACCCACTTGACAAAAAATATAATACCCACCTCGGAAAGGGATGCGACTCGGGAGGCATCAACCCTAAAAACAATGCCCATCCCCGTGTTTAGGGTTGATCCCTCTCGAAAATGCATCCAGGTTCCCTAGGTGCTTTATTTTTTCCTGCCATGCCCGAGTAGGTCTCGGTAGCGTCGTCTAGTGCTTTAGGTAGCGTTGTTTAACGGTCGGTTGCGCTACTGAGCACTACCAAGTGGATTATATGGGCTTCACTCTCTTACTACCTTTTCCGTACATATATCCAAGTCGGGAGGGTAAACTATATGGTTTTGTTTTTGTCACTTCCTAATGAATTCGACCAGCGTGAGAAATGTGACTAGATAGCGACGACCAATCAACGTTGAGAGAGTCCAGATTGATTACACCTGAAAACACGCTCGAGAAAAAATGGAGTATTAGAGATGATGGCCGCATTCTGCAGGTACAGTAGAGGTTGCACATTGTTCAGGTATGGATGATGGTTCGGTTCGATGTGCACCCAGCCGTGTTACACTCCCACTTGCTTGAGCAATGAAGAGGATGCCATGCCATACCTCCTTGGGGTAGGCTAGGCCCAAGCAAACCGCCCTTCTGTGGGGCTGGAGAATGGTTTGACACCAGACATGAGACGCCCAAGCCTGCAACCGAACCTTGAGCTGCCGCTCGTCGCAGTAACGAGCTCCGTTAACGGCTAAATTGCGCGACGCGCCAGCGCAAGACCTTTTTTTATTTCTATCGACCAGCCTCGCACCGCAGGTAGGGCGACAAAAACCCCTCGCAAATGAATCGACCTACAAACTCTTACGCGATATTGACATAGAATTGAATGTGTAATAATTGGTGGTCTTCCTAATTGTCACTGTTTCGCGCGGGATAATGTTTGCCAGGTGGTGTTCGTGTTTTCGTAAATACAAATTGTGGCTACATTGCCGTGACCTTACAAGTTTCGGTTATTTTGTCTGTTTCTGATGGCGCAAAACTGTTTCGTGCGCGTGTCAGGTTTTTTGTCTACATGATTTTCTTTTTTGGCGCGTGTCAAACGCGATTTTCTGAAACATCTACGGAGTCTGAATCTAAGCAGGGGCTGAAAAAAAATATACCCCTAAAGGCAGGAACGCAATTTGGGAGGCATCAACCCTAAACACGGGAAGCATGGTGTTTAGGGTTAATGCCTTGAATGTGGTGCGATTTGGGAGGGATCAACCCTAAACACGGGAATTGTCAAGGTGTTTAGGGTTGATGCATTGAAAGTGTGCCTGGCTCCCTACGGGGTTTAGTTGGTTTGGTTTACATGTCGCAAATTTGTCTGCGCGACCAGACTAAAGTGACGTCACACGTCGCAAATTTGTCTTTGATGAAAGGTTCGAAACCCCAAACTGTAATCCCGCGATTCTGGCCGTAAAACCAAATGGCACCTGTAACGTCAATATGACCTCGCCTGCAGCATGAAAATAACGTGAAAGCGCATGTAAATCGACCCATTTGGACGAGGTTCGGTCGCCCTACCTGCGGTGCGAGTTTGGTCAATGGGATTGAGAAAAGTTCGCGCGCCGGCGCGTCGCGCAATTTTGCCTTCGTTAGCAGTCACTCGCATCCCTTAGTTACTTTGTCGGATGTGACGACCAACGCTGCACCAGCCACTTATGCGAGGAACAGTGGTGCCTGCACCGACAAAACGGGGACCAGGACAGTACAGCAATGGAGGGGAGTGTCCGCTGAAATGTTCAACTGCTGTTGTGTATGTTAGACACTCCCTGCTGTCTTGTGCGCCACGAATCACAACAGTCAACCAAACAAAACGAACCAGCTATTAGTGGATTATTTTTCCAGACATCAGCACATTGAAATTAGGGAAAATATGCCACGCAAGCTAGTAGCTGATAACCAGCTGGACCTGGAGCGCGCCCTACAGTATTTCATCTCAACACCTGACATCGGGCTCTCCTACTCCACGCTGACAACGACCTCCTTCAACCTCAACGGCTACGTGGACGCAGACTATGCAGCTGATCCTGCGAACCGACGGTCCCGAACCGACTTTGTTTTTCGCCTAGAACCAACTGGGCCAATCTCATTAAACTCACACAAGCAGGAGCTGATTGCCCTGTCATCGGCTGAAGCAGAATACATCGCCGCAACAGCAACAGTTTGCGAAGGTCAGTACCTGCAAGAGCTGTTCCAGGAGGCGAAAATCCCACTTTCGCCCACCTTTTGCCTTCACTGCGACAACCAGAGCGCCATCAGAATCACGAACAAGCCAGGTTTCGTGAACAGCACGAAGCACATCGCGCTTCGGTATTTTTTCTTCAAGGACGTGTCAGATTTATATGACGTAGCCACTGTAGGCTATAGTGGGGTAGCACATATGGGGTACAGCTTTCTAGGGTTTGCACTTGTACCCCACTTTCCCTTGGTCATTCCATTCTCGTTCAGTTTCTCATGGTATCGAGCAGGTTCCCCTGTGGGAACTGTTCCTAGGGCCCACCACCTTTTTTTTCCTGCCCAGAGCGCACTCTACACTGCCCGAGTCGCGCTCCCCTCTCACGGCCCCGTCGAGCCGCCCTTTCGACCATGTCGCGTTGCGCTTGCGGCCCCGTCGCGTCGCCCTCGCGGCCCCTTCACGTCGCGCCGCCCTAGCGGCCGCGTCGCGCCGCCCTCGCGGCCCCGATCCGCCGCCCTCGCGGCTCCGTCGCGTCGCGCCGCCCTCGCGGCCCTTCCACGCCGCCCTCGCGGCCTCTTCAAACCGCCCTCGCGACCCCCCCCCCCCCCCTCCTAGCCGCCCTAGCGGCCCCGGCGCCGCCCTTCCCTGCCTCGGCGCCGCCTCTGCTGGCCCCGTCGCCTACCCCTGCGGCCCCGGAGCTGCCCTTCCCGGCCCCGGCGCCGCCTCTACTGGCCCCGACGCCGCTCCACCCGGCCCCGACGGCGCTCCACCCGGCCCCGCCGCCGCTCCACCCGACCCCGCCACCGTCCCCACGCGGCCCCGCCGTCACCACCGAGCCGCCAGCGGCGCCGAGCTGCTGCCGAGCCGCCCGATCCACCCGAGCCGCCCGAGCCGCCGCGCCACCTGAGCCGCCCGAGCGCCGGGTCGCGGAGCCGCCGGGTCGCCGAGCCGCCGAGCTGCAATTGCTGCCGAGCCGCTGTACCGCCGAGCCGCCCGAGCCGCCCGAGCCGCCGAGTCGCCGAGCCGCACTTGCTGCCGAGCCGCCGTACCGCCGAGCCGCCCGAGCCGCCGAGTTGCCGAGCCGCCGAGCCGCCCGAGCCGCCCTGTCCGGTAAGAGCAGCGCCTCTGTCACTGCACTGCCCTTACCCTACTGTTCGCGCTGCTAGTCTACTGCTGTCATGGCTACCCCTAGTGTCCTCGCTTTCGACGCTGAGGGTCGGGCCATTGACTTTGACGTCTGGGTAGATGACCTGCAGCTTTTCCTACAGTGCGATAGGGCAGACGGTCTCTCCCTCTTTGACCTCAACTCCGGTGACTCTCCTGCCCCTACTGCTGATGCCGACGCCACTGTTCGCTCATAGTGGGCCACACGCGATGCTGCTGCACGTCTTGCTGTGCGTCGCCACCTGCCTACCTCTGAGCGTGCGCACTTTAGCCAGTACAAGAGTGTTCAGACCTTGTACGACGCTGTAGTTGTGCGCTACTCCTCCCCTGCCACTGCTGCACTGAGCCGCCTCATGCCACCGTACCTCTTCCCTGACCTTGCTGCCTTTCCCACAGTCGCTGACCTCTTTACGCACCTCCGCACTAGTGACACTCGCTACCGCGCTGCGCTTCCTGCTGAGTTCTGCGCCAAGAACCCCCCCCCCATGTACATCACTCTCTACTACATAGTCACCCGGCTCCCTGACTCCCTTTGCGTAGTCAGGGACCACTTCCTCTTAGTTTGCCCCACCACTCTCACCGTTGACCTCCTCGAGAAGGCCCTCCTAGCAGCAGAGAAGAGCATCGTCGCTGTAGGAGCCTCTCGTGGTGACCCTCGCACCCCCGTCTTTGAGGGGTGTTCCCCCTCCCCCCTTCTACCCTCTGTTGCCTCTGCTGCTGCGGCCGACCTCGTTGGTTTCGAGTCGGTGGGCGCTGCGTCTGCCCCGAGCGGGAAACGCCGCACCGGCAAGGGCAAGGGGGGCAAGGGTGCTGGAAGGGCTGGCGGGGGTGGCGGAGGTGGCGGTGGAGGCAGTGGAGGGGGTGGGGGTGGTGGTGGGAATGGTGGCGGGGGTGGAGGTGTCGGTGGCGGCAGTGGAGGCGGAGGCGGCGGCGGCGATGGCGGTGGGAGCGGAGGTGGCGGAGGTGGCGGCGGTGGAGGAGGCGGCGGCGGAGGAGGTGGAGCTGGTTGGGGTGGCGCTGCGCAGAGGGTCGGCTCCGGTGGTGGTCAGCGCCAGCAGCAGCAGCAGCAGCAGCGCACTCAAGACATCCCCCCCCCTCAGCAGCTCCGTGGGTGGTACGCTGCACGCCAGCGGGGTGGGGGTACTGGTCCGTGCACCTACGTCCTATGCACCGGCGACCGTGCGGGTGAGCAGTGCGGGGGTGCGCACTCCACCCAGCGCTGCTTTGGCCGCCTGACGGACGCTTGGCGTCACCAGTTCAACGAGGCCACTGAGATACCCCGCTGGGGCGAGCTGTCTAGGGCGGGAGTAGCTGTCTTTGACCTTGACTTTGATGCTATTCTTGCTGCCATGTATGCTGTGACTATTAGTGATGAGGGTGACTGTTACCGGTGTTTTCCGCCCGACCCGGGCATTCCAACTGCTGCTCTAGGTACTGGTGAGGCTGCTGCTCTAGGTGCTAGCGAGGCTGCTGCTCTAGGTGCTCGTGCGTCTGCTCCCTCAGGTGCTGTTGAGTCTGCTCTCTCAGGTACTGCGTCGGCTTCGGCCTCCCACACCTTCACCCTTGACTCGGGGGCTTCTCGCTCCTTCTTTCGAGACTGCACCACACTCATGCCGCTTGGCCGGCCAGTTGCAGTATCTCTGGCAGACCCCTCTGGGGGTCCTGTCCTTGCTCACTTCTCCACTGTCCTCCCATGTCCGGCAGCCCCCTCTGGCACCCTGTCTGGTCTTTACCTCCCCTCGTTCTCTACGAACTTGGTGAGTGGTGCTGACCTACAGGATGCGGGGGTTCACCAGTTCACTCCTGCGAGTCAGCGGGTGACCCACTACATGGACACTCGGACAGGCCAACACCTGGCCACGTTTACACGTCGGCCGGGGTCGAGCCTGTACACACTGACCACTGCGTCTCCTCCAGTCACTGCGTCTGGTCAGGTAGCTGCGTCGGGTCAGGTGTTTGCTGCAGCGTCTAGGTCTGGTCCTGAGTCTGCCCCCTGCTCGTGTCGCCTCGTGTCTCACCAGACTCTCCTCTGGCACCACCGCCTTGGTCACCCCTCCCTGCTTCGTCTCCGAGGCATGGCCTCCCGTGTCCTTGTCTCTGGTCTTCCCCGGTCCCTCCCTCCCCTTCCTCCGGGGCCTGGCCCTACCTGCGTCCCCTGTGTCGAGGGGCGCCAGCGGGCTGCCCCTTACTCCTCCGAGTTTCCTCCGACAGAGGCCCCGCTGCAGACGCTTCACATGGACGTGTGGGGCCCGGCCCGCGTCCGTGGACAGGGTCACGAGCGCTACTTCCTGCTAGTGGTTGACGACTACTCGCGTTACACCACAGTCTTCCCCTTGCGCAGCAAGGGTGATGTCACTGCGGTGTTGATCGACTGGATCCGCGTAGCTCGTCTCCAGCTCAGGCAGAGCTTCGGCTCGGACTTTCCTGTTCTGCGTCTGCACTCTGACAGAGGCGGGGAGTTCTCCTCTGGCCTTCTGCGAGCCTACTGTCGTGCACGAGGCATCCGCCTGACCTTCACGCTTCCGGACTCCCCACAGCAAAATGGGATTGCTGAGAGCCGCATTGGCATGGTCATGGATGTCGCTCATACGTCCATGATGCATGCGGCTGCCCCCCATTTTCTGTGGCCGTTTGCGGTTCGGTACGCGGCGCATCAGATCAACCTTCACCCCAGGGTCTCCATGCCGGAGACCTCCCCAGATTTGCTGTGGACGGGGAAGGTTGGCGATGCGTCAGCGTTCCGTGTCTGGGGATCTCGGGCGTTTGTTCGCGACTTGTCTGCGGACAAGCTGTCCCCTCGTGCTGCTCCTTGCGTCTTCCTTGGCTTCCCCCCTGACACGCCAGGGTGGCAGTTCTACCACCCCACCTCTCGCCGTGTTCTGTCCTCCCAGGACGTCACGTTTGACGAGTCGGTCCCCTACTACCGCCTCTTCCCCTACCGCACTCCGTCCCTCCCCCCGCCACCGCTCTTCCTTGTGCCAGGTCCCCCCCCGGTAGACCCCCTCCCCCCTCAGGGTCATGCCCCTTCAGGTGTGTCCCAGGTAGACGCAGTCGAGCATGTCAAGGTTACTGGTGACTGTGGTGCTGCTGAGGGTGCTGGGCCTGGGGGTGCTGACTCTGGGGGTGCTGAGCGTGTGGGTACTACGCCTGGGGGTGCAGAGCCTGAGGGTGCTACTACTGAGGGTGCTGAGCCTGGGGGTGCTGAGCCTGGGGGTGCTACCACTGAGGGTGCTGAGACTGGGGGTGCTGAGCCTGGGGGTGCTACGCCTAGAGGTGCTGAGCCTGGGGGTGCGGAGCCTGATGGAGCTTGGCCTGCTCGTGTGGCGTCTGGCGGTGCTGGGCCTGGAGGTTCTCCGGGTGCTTTGTCTCGGCGGGAGCCACTCTCTCCACAGGAGCTGCGCGAGTGGTTTGCCCGGCGCTGGAGGCGTGCTGCTGGAGCTGGAGGTTCTTCGGCTGCTGAGGGTGCTGGTGCCGCGGGTCGCGGAGGTGCTCGTACTGGGAGTACTGGAGTAGCTGGGCGTGCGGGTACGACTGGAGCTGGAGCTGCTGAGGGTGTTGGCGCTGAGGCTGCTGCTGTCGGTCCAGGAGAAGTTCCTGCTGGGGGTGCTACTGGTGCTGCAGGAGGTACTGGAGCTGGAGGTGCTGCTGGCGCTGGTGATGCCGCTGGGGGTACTGGTGTTGTCCCTGCTGTGTCTAGAGTCGCCGCGCGGCCTCGGCCGTACTTCGTTCCGCTCCTTCAGCAGGTTCTTGGTCTCCCGCCTTCTACTGGTCCTCCTCCTCCTTTAGAGTGTCCACAGCCTGTCCCGTCACAGTTAAAGTTACAGCCGGCCTCCCCAGTGCCTGCTCCTTCTCCCTACACTGGTCCTACTGGAGGTCTTGCTGAGCGTCGTCAGCCTGCGTCTCGCCCTGCGTCGCCTGTCGGTCCTGCTCGCACTAGTGGTCATGGTTCGCGTCAGCGTCCTCCTCCTGTCCCTGGCACGCACAGGATGTCTCTACGTCCGTCCACTGCTCCTCTGCGTGCCCCTTTGCCTTCTCCTCCTGAGTCCTCGCTTCCTGCTCTTGCCGACCCGGAGTCGGACTCTCTTCGTGCTGCCAGTCCTACTGTCACGCGTCTCCTTGCTTCTGTCGTCACTGCACCTTCCTTTGAGTCCACTGCTGCGTCTGCCCTAGTTGCTGAGCTCGTCGACTTCGCTGCTCGTTGTCGTCTAGACTACGCTGCTAGTCTTGTTGCTGAGTCTGAGTCTTTCTGTCCTCCGTCCGTCGGGGGTGAGTGTGCCCTTGGCATGGACGTCCTTGAGGACAGGCAGGAGGAGTTCCGGTGTTTGGCTGCTGCTTCATCTCATCTCGTGTCCGTAGTGCTTACCCCTGAGGGAGACCCGGATGCACTTGACATCCCGACTCCGCGCTCTTACGCGGAGGCGATAGAGGGTCCCTACTCCTCTCAGTGGCAGGCAGCTATGGACACAGAGATGGCTTCCTGGAAGTCCACAGGCACCTATGTTGACGAGGTTCCCCCGCCTGGGGCGAACATCGTCAGTGGCATGTGGATTTTCAGGGTGAAGCGGCCGCCGGGTTCTCCGCCTGTCTTCAAGGCGCGTTACGTGGCTCATGGCTTCAGTCAGCGGCAGGGAGTTGACTACTTTCAGACCTTCTCTCCCACCCCAAAGATGACCACTCTTCGGGTACTGCTGCACATAGGTGCTCACCGCGACTACGAGCTGCACTCTCTTGACTTCAACACTACTTTCTTGCAGGGCAGCGTGCACGAGGAGATCAGGCTGTCTCGCCCACCTGGCTTCACTGGGTCTTTTCCTCTTGGCACCCAGTGGAGCCTCCGGCGGCCAGTCTACGGTCTCCGCCAGGCACCGCGTGAGTGGCACGACACACTGAGGACTACACTTGCGGCTCTTGGGTTTGCTCCTTCTACAGCCGGCCCGTCGCTGTTTCTACGCACTGACACTTCTTTGCCGCCATTCTACATCCTCGTGTACGTCGACGACTTGGTCTTTGCCACAGCTGACACTGCTGGACTCGCCCACGTGAAGTCCGAGCTGCAGAAGAGACACACGTGCACAGACCTGGGTGAACTGCGCAGCTACCTTGGCTTGGAGATCACCCGGGACAGAGCACGCCGCACCATTACCTTGACTCAGTCACACATGGTGCAGCAGGTCCTTCAGCGCTTAGGCTTCACGTACTCCTCGCCTCAGGCCACTCCTCTGCCTACTCGCCACTCGCTCTCAGCTCTGCCTTTGGATGAGTCCGTAGAGTCGAGTGGCCCGTACCCAGAGCTTGTTGGCTGCCTCATGTACCTGATGACCTGCACACGACCTGACCTTGCATACCCTCTTAGCATTCTCGCACGCTATGTTGCTCCTGGGAGACACAGACTGGAGCACATGGCTGCAGCGAAGAGGGTGTTGCGCTACTTGTGCAGTACGTCGGGCATGGGGCTTGTGCTTGGAGGGCAGAGTTTGGTGGTCCTCAGTGGGCACGCAGACGCTTCTTGGGCAGATGACCAGGCTACGCAGCGGTCGTCCTAGGGTTACACCTTCAGCCTTGGTTCCGGCTCTGTTTCGTGGCGGGCTACCCGCTCGTCTTCTGTTCTCGGCTCCAGTTGTGAGGCTGAGATCTACGCCGGGGCCATGGCTGCACAGGAGCTTCGCTGGCTCACCTACCTGCTGACTGACCTCGGAGAGCCGTCTCGTTCTCCTCCAGTGCTGTACGTAGACAACAAGGCCATGCTGGCCTTGTGTCGAGAGCAGAGACTGGAACACAGAACGAAGCACATTGCTCTTCGCTACTTCCTTGCTCGTGAGCTACAGCAGCGTGGTCAGCTGCGCCTTGCGTACGTGGCCTGTGAGGCCAACACTGCTGATATCTTCACCAAGGCACTTGCGCCTTGTGATCATCAGCGCTTCTGTACTCAGCTGGGTCTTGTGCCTACCTTGCCTCACTTGCTCACCCCTTGACCTTGTTTGTACTGTTGCATATATATATATACACCTGCTCTTGCTTGTCTAGCCTTATATATATATGTAATCCCGCATGTGAACTGGCCTTGTGGCCTTGAACTTGTGCTCGGAATGTGTGGTGACTTTGTGATCCACCCTGAGCTTACTTTGCTTTGCTTGACTGGTCTTGTGACCCATTGTTCTCCCCCACTTTGCCTAGGGGGGTGTGTCAGATTTATATGACATAGCCATTGTAGGCTATAGTGGGGTAGCACATATGGGGTACAGCTTTCTAGGGTTTGCACTTGTACCCCACTTTCCCTTAGTCATTCCATTCTCGTTCCGTTTCTCAGGACGAAATTGACCAGGGAAAAGTTGACCTCTCGTACTGCCCAACCACCAAGATGGCAGCAGAATTCCTTACCAAGCGACTACCACGTCAGCAGTACAAGTACTGCTCTGACCTCACCGGAGTACTCAAGCGAGTCAGCCCCTGGTGCGCCTAGGAATGAAGGAAAGTGTTACGATATGAAATCAAATGTGAAGGCATTCCTGTATGCTGCAGGAGCCGATTCTACCGAGTACGCAGTCGAGGAGTTAGAAGAGTCGAAGCGACGCAGCAACCGTCTGACCAAGACCGATCTAGGCAAAAACATTCGAAGTGAAAAGAGCGGAAACAGGTTTGAAACGGGTTCCTGCGCCGCACGATTTGAATATCGATGCAATAAGTGGATGTGCCCCTTAGAGTACATGGCTAGTCTAGGTCTTTCCGTATTCCTCTGTATTCTTATATAAACCCGATGTATGCATGCTATTATCATCTCAGTCATTTACATACTCTGACCTGAGTTTACAACTTCCGCTGCAACACCACTCTGCGATCAATCCAGAGCGATCCTTCGCTAAGTCCCACTAGGGATTGTAATAGTCATGAAGGCCCGTCTTCCTGGAAATGGGTACTCTGATTCAGCAGGAATAAAAAAAGTATAACTCTGAAAATCTTAGACAATACGCTCAGGCTAAGGCAGAGTTCACTAACGTTAAACATCAGCAAGGGGAGTACGGTAGAGAAGGGGAAATGTTGTAGAAGCTACCATAGGGAATCACCTTCAGAGTCCGTACCGTAGTCCTTGTAGTCAGGGAAATCATTATTTGGTAAGCATATACTATTATTTTATCAGCATCCAAAAAAAAATAAGTCTGAAGCACGCATTATTGAAAAACAACCAAATCTGAAAAATCAGGAATATCATAAAAAAAGGCTTGAAATTTCAGACAATCAGGCTAAAATAGTATGATAAAATCAGCCCTGCGTACGCGTTACTTTTGTATCATCCACGTGTCAGTAGATCTGCACTGTGGATGCCCGATTGATCCTGGAGAGGGTTACAGGCGCGTTCACCTGGGGGGTTATGGGCGCACTGACCCGCTACTAAAACAAGCCCTTTTATCCCAATGGTCTAGTGGTTGGGCATCTGACATGGTATCAGAGCGGTCTCGGGTTCAATTCCCGGTGTATGCACATGTAGGCCGTTGCCGATGTGCTTAGTCCTGGACCTCCCAGTGTGGGGGGGTGTCAGTAGATCTGCACTGTGGATGCCCGATTGATCTTGGAGAGGGTTACAGGCACGTTCGCCTGGGGGGTTATGGGTGCACTGACCCGCTACTGAAACAAGCCCTTTTATCCCAATGGTCTAGTGGTTGGGATTCTGACACCACGTTATGGAGTCCGGTGTTGGTTACTTGTGTCAGAACATATAGCTTACTTGTTTGTGTAGGCTATAGTGGGGTATCCCATAGGGGGTACAACACATTAGGGTTTCCTATTTGTATTCACTTCACTTCATAGTCATTCATCCTCGTTCTTTGTTTTCACATGGAATCAGAGCAGGTTCCCTCCTAGGGACTGCTTCTAGGGCCCACCGAACCGCGCCCCGAGGCGCGTTTTTTTTTTTTTAGCGACCCGTCGTGTCGCCCCTAGCGGCCCGTTGCGCCGCCCTTCCCCTAGCGGCTTCGCCGCCCTTCCCTAGCGGCCCCGCCGCCCTTCGATCGCGGCCCCGCCGCCCTCTGCTACGCGGCCCCACCGCCGCCCTTCGATCGCGGCCCCGCCGCCCTCGGCTACGCGGCCCCGCCGCCCTCTGCCACGCGGCCCCGCCGCCCTCTGATACGCGGCCCCGCCGCCCTTCGATTGCGGTCCCGCCGCCCTCTACTACGCGGCCCCGCCGCCCTCTGCTACGCGGCCCCGCCGCCCTCTACTACGCGGCCCCGCCGCCCTCTGCTACGCGGCCCCGCCGCCCTCTGCTACGCGGCCCCGCCGCCCTTCGATCGCGGCCCCGCCGCCCTCTGCTACGCGGCCCCGCCGCCCTCTGCTACGCGGCCCCGCCGCCCTCTGCTACGCGGCCCCGTCGCCCTCTTCGGTCGCGGCCCCACCGCCCTCTGCTACGCGGCCCCGCCGCCCTCTGCTACGCGGCCCCGCCGAGCCGCCCAGCATCAGCCGAGCCGCCCAGCAGCAGCCGAGCCGCCGCCGAGCCGCCGCCGCCTGAGCTGCCGCCCGGGCCACCTGAGCCGCCGCCCGAGCCGCCGCTGAGCTGCGGCCGAGCCGCCGCCCGAGCAGCCCGAGCCGCCCGTGCCGCCCGAGCCGCCCGAGCCGCCCGAGCCGCCCGAGCTGCCCGAGCCGCCCGAGCCGCCCGAGCCGCCCGAGCCGCCCGAGCCGCCTGTGGAGCCGTGCTGCTGTTCCTGAGCTGTGTTCCTCTGCTGCTGACCTACCCGACTCTCCCAGCCCGGTGAGACTTTCAGCTGCTGCCATGGCCACCCCCAATGTTCTTACTTTTGACGCTGAGGGGAGGGCCATTGACTTTGCCGTCTGGATTGAAGACCTGCAGCTGTACTTACTGTGTGATGCGATAGATGAGGTCTCTCTCTTTGACTTTGTCTCTGGCGCTGTCCCTGCCCCACCTGCTGATGCTGACTCTGCCGTTCGCTCCAAGTGGGCGACCCGCGATGCTGCTGCACGTCTTGCTGTGCGTCGCCACCTCCCTTCCTCTGAGCGTGCCCACTTTAGTCAGTGCAAGACCGCTCAGGCCTTGTACGACGCTGTAGTTGCACGCTACTCCTCCCCTCCTCCGCTACCCTTAGCCGCCTCATGCTACCGTTTCTCTTCCCTGACCTCGCTTCCTTTCCCACTGTCGCTGACCTCGTTACCCACCTCCGTGCTAGTGACACCCGCTACCGCGCTGCCCTTCCTGCTGAGTTCCGCGCTGCGAACCCTCCTCCCATGTACATCACTCTCTACTTTCTCGTCACCCGTCTCCCTGAGTCCCTTCGTGTCGTTAGGGACCAGTTTCTCTCTGTCTGTCCCACCACTCTCACTGTCGACCTCCTTGAGGAGTCCCTGCTAGCGGCTGAGAAGAGTATTGTCGCTGTAGGGGCCTCTCGGGGTGACCCTCGCACCCCCATCTTTGAGGGGTGCGGTCCTTCCCCCCTGCTGCCCTCTGTCGCCTCTGCCGCTGCGGCCGACCTCACTGGTTTTGAGTCGGTCGGCGCGGCGTCTGCCCCCAGCGGCAGACGCCGCTCTGGCAAGGGCAAGGGGGGTAAGGGAGCGGGTGGAGCTAGAGGGGGCGGTGGAGGAGGCGGTGGTGGTGGCGGGGGGAGTGGGGGTGGCGGTGGGGGTGGTGGCGGGAGTGGAGGTACTGGTGGCGGCGGTGGAGGCGGAGGTGGCGGCGGAGGTGGTAGCGGAGGAGGCGGTGGGAGCGGTGGGAGCGACGGTCCTGGTGGGGGAGGTGGAGGTGGAGACGGGGGTGGCGGTGGAGGCGGGGGTGGCGGTGGAGGCGGGGGTCGGAGTGGCTCGTCCCAGCGGAGCAGCTCTGGGGGTGGTCAGCGCCAGCAGCAGCAGCAGCAGCAGCCACAGCAGCAGCCACAGCAGCAGCAGCGCTCTCGCACCGTCCCCGCCCCTCAGCAGCTCCGTGAGTGGTACTCGCAGCGTCAGCGTGGTGGTGCGCTTGGTCCTTGCCCCTACGTTCTTCGCACCGGTGACCGTGCAGGGGAGCGGTGTGGAGGCACCCACACAGCCCGCCGCTGCTTTGGCCGCCTGACTGACGCCTGGCGTCAGCAGTTTCCGGAGGCAGCTGAGATCCCCCGCTGGGGCGAGCTGTCTAGGGCTGGTGTAGCTATTTATGATCTTGATTTTGATGATATTCTCTCTGCTATGTATGCTGCGATTGGTAGTGATGAGGATGACTGTTACCGGTGTTTCCCGCCCGACCCGGGCATTGGTACTGCCGCGTCAGGTACTAGTGAGGCTGCTGCTCTAGGTGCCAGTGCGTTTGTGCTCTCAGGTGCTGGTGAGTCTACCCTCTCAGGTACTGTGTCGGCTTCGGCCTCTCACACCTTCACCCTGGACTCTGGAGCGTCTCGCTCCTTCTTTAGGGACCGCACCACTCTCACGCCGCTGAGTCAGCCGGTTGCGGTGTCCCTGGCTGACCCCTCTGGGGGGCCTGTCCTGTCTCGCTTCTCCACTGTACTCCCGTGTCCGGCGGCCCCCTCTGGCACCCTGACTGGTCTTTACCTCCCCTCGTTCTCGACGAACTTGGTGAGTGGTGCTGACCTCCAGGATGCGGGTGTCCACCAGTTCACCCCTGCTCGTCAGCGGGTGACCCACTGCACGGAGGCGGATACAGGTCGCCACCTGGCTACGTTTACACGTCGGCCAGGGTCGAGCCTGTACACACTGACCACTGCTTCTCCTCCAGGTGCTGAGTCTGGTCAGGTGTTTGCTGCAGCGTCCAGGTCTGGTCCTGAGTCTGCCCCCTGCTCGTGCCGTCGTCTGTCTCACGAGACCCTCCTCTGGCACCACCGCCTTGGCCACCCCTCTCTGCTTCGGCTCAGAGGCATGGCCTCGCGAGTCCTTGTGTCTGGTCTTCCCCGGTCTCTCCCTCCCCTTCCTCCGGGCCCTGGCCCCACCTGTGTCCCCTGTGTCGAGGAGCGCCAGCGTGCTGCCCCTCACTCCTCCCAGTTTCCTC